AGAGGGGGAGAGGGGGAGAGGGGGGTATGTTGTGGTATAGTGGATTCTTGTAGAGTACGTGGGTTCTTTTGTTAGAGGGAGGTAGGGGAGTGGTTGTCATTTATTTGTTGGACTTTATAGATATAGAGAGAGAGAAAGGGGTAGGGAGGTTACGATGTGTTAGTGTTCGTGTTTATATTCATGTCTATGCTTATAAGAAAATGAAGTAGAGATAAATATGGATATAGAAATTTATATATCCTCGACGGTTCGGCGTAAATCGAAAGTGGGTCAAGGGCGTGCCACCCTAGCAAAGGAAAAAGCATAGAGCTTTGTACTTAGATTTACGACCTCTTATAATATTAACAATAGCTAAAGCGCAGGGTGTTTACTAATCTTTAATTAAAAATCAGTTTACGATCGTCAAAACTATATAAGGAATTTTCTATAGACTTTGCTCTAATATAATTTATATCTTATTAAAGTATAGTAAGTCACATTCTAGTCATATGACTATTACTTTTATACCAAAATTCAGTCCAATTTGATAGCTTAGCATTGCCAAGGTGTCAGAGTTGACCTGAAATTATGCGTTAAATAATTCTACGCGAGGGTGCTTAATCCTGGTCAGAGTTTACGCCGAACCGTCGAGGAGATAATTCGGTAGATATAAAGAGTTTTTTGTTTTGTTTTTTTGGATAATAGATCAAAAGATGATTAAAAGTCCTTTCTTGAAACAAAGCTATGACGTTCTTCTTAGTTTCTTCTTCTGTTATAGAGATATTTTATAATTATATTATATTATATTATATTTACCTAATATCTTTGTATTTTAGTTAGCTTATTAGTATCGTTTCCTATAACGTATTCTTTTATTTGTTAGTACTATTATAGAGATAAATATATATAAAAGAGACGTGATATAAATATGGCAATACTTATATAATACTAGAGAGGAAAATTATCATTTATCCTAGATACTACTACTACTATAATCCTATCTAAGAGCTTCCTTTCCATCCCTTAGAATAAAGAGACCTTTTCTAGATTCTAGGTTATATGATAAATCCTTATCTCGAAATTCTCAAAAAAAGTTCGGGTGCAGAATGGAATCCTTCCACCAATTTTGTTACATGGAGTGGAATTCTTTGAAAGGGACGTCTGGAATGGAATGGGACGGAATTCCGGTTGCTGAGCGTAGCGTTGTTGATTGGGATCTTATAGTAATCTTACCTAGATTTGTAATCTTAGACTCGCTTGCCACCTATGTCTGAAATGCACCTGTCTTGCCAAACTTGAAACCACCGATTGCTGGAATGATTCCTGGCAGGTACGATTCCTTTATTTTCTGTCGTCTATTTGACTCTTGTTTCATTCTCCGTACAATGCTGCGACATTCTCGTCTTCTCCTCGACGTAAATTTGTTTGTGTTTGTGTTCTACCTTAAGTCTATAATAACTTATACAATGACACAGTGTCACTCCTCAGGAGTCAAGACCGCGAGAGGGCAATTTCTATCTTCGATTCTTCGAAGCTTGTATGGGAAATATAGATAAGCCTGCATATGCATGGTAGAACATGGATAGAAAGTCATTGGTAAGAAACCATTTTTTTTTAAAGGTAAGCGAGATTTTACTTACTTATTTATTTGGCCTAAGATATACTACTAGTTATACCATGTCCCCGTCACGTCCTGAGCTGCTGAGCCTACTTCTTAATTTGTTTGAGTTGACTGGGGTGTTGAGTCGTATATCCCCCGGAACAGTAAACAATACGTGATCTGAATAGAAGTGGGTCAAGAAGTGGTTGTATTAAGTAGATAGCTAGCTAGCTAGGAGTTCAGGTCTCTCAAATAGTCCTTCGGTACGGAAGTCCGCTTTAGGTGCCTACTGCTATTCACTGGAATCGTGGTAAAGACGCCTGTTGCAAAGACTTGAACTTATAAGAATAAGAGAAGGAATTCTTAAATGCCTTTGCTGGACTGTAATGCAGTAGCTCTGACAAGGACGGGATATTCAAAGAGTGACTGTTATATCGGATAAATCGACAGGGTGGGGTTTCCTCATTTGAAGATGTCATATTTGGCGTAGGTACTTCGATCTATTTAGATGACTGTTTCGTACTCAGGGAGTCTTTGATGCCCTTTATGCGTTATTATGAAATCACGACATCTACGGAGGGATATATTGATGATGTCTCTTCAGATGAACTGTGACGATAGGTTTAGTATACAATGCTCAGGAGGCTTTCAAGTAGATACCCTAAATCTGTTATATTTATAATATGATTCTCTATAGGAATTCAATAGTCAGACCTTCATACTGTCAACGGTGTCATTTTTTATCCCTATCCTAGATGTGAAGAACAAGAATTATGTGTTTTATATTTGGCTGGTAGTTGTTGAGAAGTTTAGAGGTAAGTTATACTCCTTGGATACGGAATTTGTCAGTTTCTATGGTTGTCTTTGTTATATGGTCCTTGTTATATGGAGAACATTCCGTTCGAACTTCGTCATGAGTGTCTTTCATGAGATGCGTGGATAGCTTATGACTTGATATAGGTCGTAACCTGTGGGCCTATCATCCAATTAATCCATATCCTTTCTTCACAACATCAACCTGGAGGAAGAATACTAGGGAACACGAGAAAGGTTGTTTGAAAATAACAGAGTATGATATTTCTTGTATCACCAAAGCTAAGAGAGTGATTCATCGTCTTATTTAGGTATTGGGGAGGGCAGAAGTGGACATTGTCGAAAGAAGTGTATCAACAAAGGGTCTTTGGCAGGGACTGTATGGTTGAGCTGTGTGTAGTCCTGGGAAGAGGGAGAGGGATGTTGTTAATGATACGAGTATAGAGGATGATGTTGTAATTGGATGGTGGTGCTCTGTTTTTTGATCGAAGGGGTCTTGATGATAATGGTAAGAGGTATGAAGGGTAGGGAGTACGAAATGGATGTGGGGATAGAATGGAAGGGATTGTCATCTTTCGGTTTTTTTTGTTGGATTCTGTGACCCTTGGGATCTGCTTTCGGCTTTTAATGAATATTTAAAGGAGGTGAGGGTTTGTTTGGGTGTGAGTGCTGGATTGTGATATGTCGACCTTTATAGATATGAGGAGGAGGATAGTGGGTAGCATTTGGAAGTGTTATGTACGTAAGTGGAGGTGGTACTTGGCAGAGGGGTTTGGTATGGGGAGGTGGTTGGTGTATTTAGCTGTTTGATCATGCGGATATATGAAAGCTCTCAGGTTATTCGACATGAGTACTTAACTCCAGTAATCTTTTTATAGATCTAACCTGAATCAACCAATTGTTATTACTATATCTTTATACTGTTTTATACTATTTGGTTAGTGTATTACTCTCGTGCTAATAGTAATCAGTATACGCGGAAACCGTTTTCTACCACGGTTAATAATTATATAACTCAAGTATAGAAGGACCATTTTATAAGACTTTACCTAGACTGTGGTAAAGCAAAGTTACTCCATTAGAAATTATAAATATACCGAACTCCTAGCTGGTTCTAAGTATATATGTATCGACGGATCTAGATCTTTGGACTACTAATAAAGAGTTGGCTTGTAACTGATGTTGCCTATAACTAATCCCAACCTAATTATCAAAATGAATATTACCGTGGATAGAGTTGAATACAACAATAACTTATCTCCGCACCGCGCCGGATCCGAAAGTGGCGTCTTAACAGGCTAACAGCATACGGAACCTTCGCCGAACCGCTTTGGGAAGTCGAAATTGTGACTCTTGACCTTGATCTGTATGGACGTTTATGAGAACCGAAAGAAGCACTTTAATGCTACCATAAATATCTCGTTCGTCCCATAAAGTTCGAAAAGTTTCTATGTTTTCTTCGATCACATCTAAATTCCTTTTATGTCAGGCGGTAATCCATAAATCGATTGCTGGTCTAGGGATAACTGTGCACAGAATGGGTTGTTCGTGTAATGAAACCTTGATGATATGACGTCGATGTTACTTTTTAAGCCTATTTTCATCCACTTTGAACCCCGAGGCCCGAGGGTAGCGATACTCAAGCTAGACCCGGGAGTTGCTTTTTTGTGGTTCAAATGATGGGAGGAATGGAAGACACTTTTTAGAGAGTCGGGGGTCTGTGGATTTGTTGGGGTTCGAGTTGTTTCTCCAGTTCCTGGTGGACAGGAAAAGTGGCAGAGAGTGGTTTTCTGACTATTAGTGTAAGTTGGTTCTAAGTATTGAAATGTTTGAAATATCTAGAATGATTGTCTTTATTGTTCTATTGTTTTAGATTGATTATATTAATTTGTCTAAATATATAATATAATAGAATGGGGTTTGGTTGAGTTGGGTTAAGATGAAAGAACTCTTGAAGACTTTTCTTGTCTACACGAGCCTACCTAGTTATAAATAATGTACTTGTAGTTATTATTATCTAAGAATAATATATGTTATCAAGTTAACCGAGGCGTGAGGAGAGGCTAAGCAGGTGAGTTCAGTAGCATCTTTCTTAGAAAATCAATCGAGAGGGGTTCTCAAAGAGATATACTATACATTTGAATAGATCAAAAGGGAGTGTCATGGTTTTTTTATTTCTAGAAAAAGGAAACATTAGTTATCCTCTACGAGTAAACCAGAGCGAGGTTGGCCCGGCGACAGTAGAAATATGGCCAGGCACGGACCGCTTGCCAACGACGCTAAGTTTCGAGGGGTTGCGTTGCCCACCGCTAAGAAGCTGGAATCTTCACTTGCCTATCTTGCGCCTACAGCAAGATCACACTAGATCTGCTGCAGATTCACTCTGAGCTGGCGTCCCTTCGTCTTTACAATCTCATAGCCATCGCGCTACTCCTTGCCCCTCCCCCTTCCCCTCTCAGCCACCCGCAGCCTCAACAGGTTCCTTTGGATCCAAATCCATCCATCCCTTCCCCGCATCGAGACGCCCTAAACATCAAAAGTTGTCCGGCGCCTTGGGAGGCAGACTGCAGAATGGCGCGCGTGTACGCAGATGTCAACCAGCAGATGCCACGGTCCTACTGGGACTATGACAGTGTCAACATCACCTGGGGTGTGCTGGAGAACTACGAGGTAGTTCGTAAGATTGGTGAGGCGCCCTTTGCAAAACACCACAACCCACCAAGCAAATGATCTACGATACTAATCTGCCGGTCACCTAGGACGAGGAAAGTACTCGGAGGTCTTCGAAGGAATCAATGTCGTCAACTACCAAAAGTGCGTTATCAAGGTACTGAAGCCGGTGAAGAAGAAGAAGATAAAGAGGGAAATCAAGATTCTACAGAACCTCTCCGGCGGACCCAACATAGTCGCACTTCTAGACGTGGTTCGCGACCAGCAAGTAAATCTCTCTCCTTCTTCAAATTATTTCGGCGTTGTTCCCAAAGCTGGGGTTGGCATAACCGGCGATGATGGATACGTCCCTTCCGATCAAGAAACAGACGACTCATACATGATGCAGAGCAAAACGCCTTCCCTCATATTCGAATATGTCAACAACACGGACTTTCGAAGTTTGTACCCAAAGTTTGTCGACTACGATGTCCGATATTACATTTATGAGCTGCTTAAGGTAGTGTTATTGGCTTCTGACAATGGGAGAATTGATTATTGATTGTGGGTAGGCCCTTGACTTTTGTCACAGCAAAGGCATCATGCACAGAGACGTAAAGCCTCACAATGTTATGATTGACCACGAAAACAGAAAGGTATTTAGATATGCTGATATTTTGGTTTTCGGCTACTGATACGCACTAGTTGCGGCTAATCGATTGGGGTCTCGCCGAGTTTTACCACCTAGGCACCGAATACAACGTCCGCGTTGCGTCGAGATATTTCAAGGGTCCAGAATTGCTTGTTGATTTCCAAGAGTACGACTACTCTCTTGATATGTGGTCTTTGGGTGCTATGTTTGCATCGATGATCTTCCGAAAGGAGCCTTTCTTCCACGGCAACAGCAACTCGGACCAACTTGTCAAGATTGCCAAGGTGTTGGGTACCGAGGATTTGTTCGATTACCTTGACAAATACGAAATCGAACTCGATGCCCAATACGACGATATTCTAGGCAGATTCCAGAAGAAGAGCTGGCACAGTTTTGTCAACTCCGAAAACCAAAGATTTGTCAGCAATGAGGCTATTGATTTCTTGGATAAATTACTTAGATACGATCACCAGGTAAAATCTCTTATGAAATTCCCTCAATATCCTCTAACATTTTTCTAGGAGCGTTTGACCGCTAAGGAAGCTATGGCCCACCCATACTTTGCACCAGTCCGAGCCAACGAACAGCAAGGTCGAATCACATCTGGTACCTCTTCTTCTGCTTTAGTGTGAAGCAAACACAGGAATGACGGACAGTATTCTCACTCAAGAAAAAAAAAAGCGACAGTTCAATCCCCACACTTCCTGATGAATGTTGCAACGCGAACAGAAAATATCCTACAAGCCCCCTTTTTCTTTATGTCACTTAAAGCATGATGGCAGTATGGACTGCTACCCCGGGGAAGAATGTTGGCCATGGGAAATGGGGGGAGGGGCGTTCCACTTGATTTATAGCTTTGATAGGCCTTGCATACCCTTTCCTCCGACTGCTTCGTTTCGAAGATGCATATGGTCGGTTAATTCTGTAGAACGAATTCTACTCACGTTTTTCCAAGTCGTTGTTCTCTGCGTGACCTCTGCATCGGGTCGAATATTGTGATATTCAATAACTGCATCGTAAATTATGTGGTATCTAAGAGTCTGCGTACACACTATGAAAATCTCATTACAAAGCCTTTACTCCCGGAAACATCCGTTTCTGTCTATTCCATTGTGTACAGTTACTGTACAAACCCAAACCAAATGCCCATATCCACGCCTAACCAACGACTCGCTATCAAAAGCCAATACGCCTATTTCTTCCTTGGAGTCCGAGCAGTATTCGAAGTATGAGCCAGCAAAAACTTACAACACGTAAGTGTATATTTGCAAGCTCGACTCCACGAATCATCCTGCGCGATACCGAGTTTGATACTGACACTATCCATTTTATCGACATCATTCTTGTAGATCTTATCTCCGTCGATTTTGTAGGGTAATCGCAATGGATCGTTGCCGCCCTTCATGGACTCCTCTTCGACAAACTCTCCAACTTGCTTGACGCATGCTAGGAAAGCCACCATGGCGGTGTCGAATTTGCGGTGCATGAATGTGAGTCCCAGGGGCATGTCGCCTGACGAGTAGAGCTCGAGGACTTTTCTGGTGGGTGCGCGGGTGGTGCTGCTTCGTTGGGAACCGGCTCGGCTGGCGGAGGGGGAGGGGTAGTCGTATCGGATTATTCGCGAGGTGGAACCCATGGGTTGGAGTTCGTAGCCGTGGAACTTGAAGCCTAGTTTTTCTGCTACGGTGGCGAGGAGGAGGAGGGTATGGCCCCATGCTGCATTTATTTCTTGCCAGTCTACGGCGACGTTTGAGAGTCTACCCAGACGAAGGCCGTTGATGGTTCCGAAGTTTCCGTCGTGGCTGATGCAGAAGGTGTCATTGTAGACATTTGTTCGTTGAAGTTTCTCTAGCAGTTGGGAGTCATGATCGTATTGTTGGTTGACGCTGTCGCGAACATTTTGGAAGTCGTTGAGCTTTATTGAGAAAGCATTTCGTTCTCGCCAGAATTGTTCTTCTTCGTTATCGAGCGCCCGTGCTTCTTCCTCAAGTTGGGCGATTTCCTTATCGACTTCTGACTTTTCCTTTTCTAGTTTCTTTAACTCTTCGATGGCCGTAGCTTCGTCTGCTTTAGCTTGAGCAAGTTGATCTTGAGCTTCTTTAACCTCATCCTCCGTGGGTATTTCTGCGTTGACTTGTTTCAAGAATCCACTATATGCATCTCGTTCTTTTGTCGCGGCATTCAGTCGTTGCTGTAGGCCTTCCACAAGAAGATCTGCACATTCCACACAGACTGGATGGTCTATATCGGATCTGGCTGAGAGGATCTCAAACAACCTCGAGACTCTCTCCATCTCTTGCGACATAGCCTTTCCTTCACCATCTGTGCCATCCATATTGACTATGTCCTCGAGTCCTCGCCGTTTGGGATTTGTGTCTTCCGGGCTTTTTACTATGGATGCTGGTACGACTTGAGATTCGGTGAGCATCACAAAGGACATGGCAGGGTTAGCAAGCCCAGTCCTTGGTTCTAGAGATGAGGCATCGCTTCGTCTTGCGCCAGAAATATTGCGTCTGAGGGTGGGAGAGGAAGAGTTTCTGGATACGCGATCGTAGAGCTGTTTCCGTTCTTGGGGGTAGCCTGGTCGCGAAGGAGGTATGTTCTTGGGTTGTTGTTGTGATGATGCGCCTGTGTTTGTTAGACCGCGCTGTATATGACAGAGGAGTATAGATAGGCATAAATACCAACGAGGAGGTCAAATGCTGCAGGATTCAGGTCCTCCAGAGAGCTGTCTAGCTTGAGAGGGGCACGGCATTTCTGGCAATACATGTTGGATGAAGTGAAGCTGCGCCCGGAGATGGAATGGGATTATGTTGATGAGTCCAGACAGGTTGAGTCGGAACAGTTTAGTGAATTATTCACATCTTAATGAAGTAGTCCAGACGTTGGTTGGCAGAGGATGAGGGTGTGACATAGAACTGATGTTTGTCACTCTGCAGATGTTGTATGGTATGGTATGCCTGTTGAAGGACAACTGAGTGGGAGTAGCCTGGGATGGGACCTGGCTCCACTAGAAATGGGTCTTGGCATATGATTTGGAGCTACAGGGATTAGATTTAAGCTTAAATTGACGCAACCCCGCACCAATCAGACACGACGCGCCATCCAATCGCGTCCACCTCCTGAAGAATCCCCAGATGGGTATGGAGCTGTGTACGGAGCTAATGGCTAGTGGTGCAACCATAACAATACCAACCTCCATCAACACTCGAATGGATTCTATACATCCACAGCCACGAGAGAGCGCATTATGGAGCCGCTGCTAAAACGCCAGCGTCTTTACTCACCTATTCGCAACCAGTTTCTGCGAACGTTCTCGAGGGAACAAGGCTACGATATTCATGAGCGCGATGAGCTACAAGATTACGATGACTTGGAGCAACCCCGGCGGGGCTATGAATCCGAGGAAGAAGATGACGAGGATGACGATGATACGATAGATTCAGTGCCAGATCCGGACTCGGAACTGCAGCAGAAAAGGATGCAATTGGATTTCAAATTAAAGTCAACATTCGAGTCGATTTTCGAAAAGTACGGCAAGGACTTTGAAGGCATTGGGGATGAGATTGATTTGGGAACTGGAAGAATCGTTGTCGACAATGGACACCTTTCCGCGATGCGACATGAAAGAGACGCCGGATCCCGATTATACGACGAATCTACCGAATATACAGAGGAGTCGGTCGAGAGCTCGCTTGGAGGTGATGATACGTTATTCGAGTACGATGAGGACGAAGAGGAAGAGGAAGAAGAAGAGGAAGTAGAAGAGGGCGTTGAAGAAATCGAGGAATATTATATTGGAGATGGGGAGGATGATGACATGGAGGATGATATGATTTTGAGGGGGTTTACAAAGGCAACTCAGAATATTCAGCCAGAGCCAGCCCATTCTAGACGGCCTCCTAATTTCGTCGAGAATACCAGGACAATTCTTGAACCTCGTCAGATTGCGCCAACCACAGTACAAAACTCTCTTCGCCCATCCCATTCCGCGACTCTGGCTGAGTTTGGCTCTCAAATTCACCAATATGTATCAGAACAGCATTCACGCCGAAATATCGACGTTGACCCCGCATGGCAGGCACCCAAGTTGTCAATGATAGAAGTTCCACGCAATCAAGACACCGATAATCCCTGGCGTATACCACCCCTACCAAGCCCTCCACGCAAACACATCGAGAGGGGACTATCGTGGCAGACCGTTCCACCAAATCAGAATACAAATAATCTAGCATCCGCCTGGAAAGTCCCGGAATTACCTGACCGAAATTGGAATAGCAGGAATGATATTGAACCTTGTTGGCGCATCCCTGAACTTCCTGTGTCCGTACCAAGGACACGTCCCGATCTAAATATGAACTTCAAGCCAGCTTTTAAAAGACAGAAATCGTCTCCTGTGGCGGTATCAAGGCCACGTCCAGATGAAAATACGAGCGTCAAGCCAGCTTTTAAAAGACGCAAATCGTCTCCTGTGGTTGCTGATTCAGTATGGGCGGAACCAGAGAAGGAGCGCCGAAATAATCCCCTTGCCAAGAATAACCGCAATCCATTCACAGTTGAAGATGACCACGTTCTACTGGATTGTGTCAAAAAAGCGAGAATTCGTGGTATAATAATGGATGGAGAATTTTGGAAAGGGATGGAAGCTCAGGTGTGTATTCATTCCCTTTACTCCTTCGAGTCTCTTTCGCTAAAAGAATACAGTACCCGCGCCACCCTTTTAGAAGTTGGAAGCAACGATACGAAAAGAAATATTCATATCTCGAACCAGATGAAATTGGGGAGCCGGAATCGCTGAGAACCACGGATTCTGAAAGCTTCAGGGTTCCTTCTCGACTTCCAAGCCCGCCAAAAAAAAGAACCTTCTTGAAAAAGTCACCCGAGAGACCTTTGCCCATTCCAAGTCGCCTAATTCCAGAACCAGTGGTCAACCAACCTAAGAGTTCGGCACCGATAAAGCCTCAATATGCTGAAAAGCCTCGCCAGCCTACCCAGCAAGATTCCAGAGTAATTACTTGGTCCAGAGCTATCGATGCCACTAAAACACCGGTCCCAGAAGGGCATACCGAAGACCTCCCCGATGCAAGGCAAGCGATTGGGAGTATTCTTGGTAAGAGGAGGTATAGCCAGTCGGAAATCAAATCATCATACACTCGGCATATTGATCAAAGACCATGCGACTCTGGTCAATCTATGTTCTCTAGTCACAGTAATCGAGTCATCAACGATTATCAAATACCAGATCAGCCACAACGACAGTTTATTGATTTGACTGAAACTCCATCGGAGAAAGACGATGGACTTATCCTTCCTCCAATGATTCATGAAAAACCTCCAATTGGAACTGCTCCATGCCCTCACAAGGATTGTAAGAGTTACCCTTCAAGGTTCTACCAGCTGGACAGAACGATAGAGGAAGACTCCTCAGAAATGGCTGTTCATCTTTTTGAAGACCACCGTACTACAGCTTTCCCATGCGGAGAGTTAAATTGCCCTTACGTGGGCGAAAACGGATACTTTACACAATTTGAGCTGGTAGAGCACGTCAAAAGTGCTCATCCCAACAGTGCAGCGTTGCGGCGACTCGAAGGACGCGTGAGCTCAACTCTTTTAGCGGGTGTAAAGCCTGTTGATGCCCACATTAGATCTAGCTGGATTAATCCTGGTGATACTGAAGTGGCAACTACACACCAAGAGTCCCACTACGAATCTCCAAAAATGGCTCAAAAATCCCGTGTCTCATCAAGTAGCCAACTTCCCTCTTCTGGCTCTGACATGGATCGCACTTTGACCCCAAGGGGCACGGCTGGTACATCAATGTATACGCCTACGACTAGTGTTTCTTCGCTCATAGTTAATCACCCCTCTGCACATAGCGATCCGGGAGAGGGTCTCAACCAAGATCGGTCTTCTTTACCAGTCGTGCAAACTACCGAGAACCATCACATCGAAGCTACACCATCTACTTCGAAGGGCTTTAGCTCCATCCGAGAGCCAACCATCGTAGAAGATGAATTGCCCACTAGGAAATTTTTCAAAGAACAGGATCAGAATATTCATCTCCCTGATGCGCAACAAAGCTTTTCTTCTACTGCTGGCATCTTGGGAAGTGATGATGCGGACAGTGTAGGAACCGATAGAACCCATCTAGCACAGTATGTTCAAAGTCCAGTCGTGGACCAATCATCCCCCTTGAGACCAAGAACTTCACTTCGCTCAAGTATCCCAGATTCACAGGGTTCTGCGGCTGTGGTACAACTATCACGCGAGCCTGTTCTACCTGAAAATGCAACACCTCAAAATAATGCCAAAGAGACAACGAGCTTGCCGCGAAAATCACCGTCAACCGTGGACACTCCCGCCATACCCAAAGTCGCCCCAGCGACAAGACCTCAACCACCTCGTGCTGAAAGATCACTACCTAAACAAACTTTCAAGACACCTGCCAGAAAAGGGAGAAATATACATCCTGGCTCAGCAGTCGAGGGAGATGATGAGCTCAATCTGACAGCCGATGGATTCCTCCTCCTTGCTTCGAAATCCAGAAGCAGGCCATTGCCTTTGGAAACGCCAGAAAAGGTAAAGCGAGAAGAGACTGCAGACATTATAGACGTCAATCCAAAATCATCTGTTTCTGCGAAGAGAACGAAGAGAAAGCTGAATCAAATTCTGGATGACGACGATATTGATGAGCTGACTGCAGACTCCCCAATGCATTGCATCTCATCAATTGGTTCATCTGCAAGAAAACAAGTCAAGGTAAAGACAGAAGAGGAACTTAGAGCTACTGGCACCCAGCCCTCCCATCAGAAGCACCGAATAGTAAAACAACCAAAACCACGGAAAGTTGTTCATCAATCCCGTCCCGCCGTTCCGGGATTGAGTGGGCGGAAATCGCAAACTCCTCGATCAGCTTCCAGAGTTGGGCCTGTTCTGGGACCCGCTCGTACCATTACACCTTTACTTGACCTCACTCCAGCAAAGAAGAGAGGTGCCCATGCGAACCAGAACTTCGCGGCCCCCGATTTAGCAGGTGCTAGCTCATCGCGAGCTGATGTTCCTACCACTCACAACGAGGGATCATCGTCACCGATGGAGGCTCTTATCACACCATCAGGCAAATCATATCGTCAGGGCAGTGTAGAAATTAAAGAGGAAGTCACAGTTCCCGTAGTGATTGTCAGGACTCCACTAGGCACATTGAAGAAATGCGGAGAGAATGGATTTGCGTGTAAGAAATCTTTCTGCTTTCGTTGTGGGAAGTCCAAATTGGGTGGATCTTGAGCTTGTTTTGGTGGTCATTTCGGTACATACGATTAGTAATTATGGCGGAGATATACTGGTCATATAGTCGGGATCATGTTGAATTGAAGTCGTTGATACTCGGGTATTCATTCCTTGTTTGATTTCTTGTTGGTACTTGTGTAAAACTTGCAGTTAGAGCCAGCCTGTTTCCCACTATTGGCAGGCGGCTACACAATTTCCTACTCATCATGCGTCTTCTTCAAGGCATCCGTTCGTAGAGCCCCCTTTGCGTCTCAAATCCCATAAGCGACCACGTGCGGCTTCCTCGACTGGACACAACATCCACCACCAGCCACCACCTTGTCCCCAGCTCTAATAACCATGAACTCATACGACCTGTGTACAGTACGAGCAACGAGAGGCCACTCACAAGCGAAATCTAGCCCAGACCTATAGGGCTGAAACCCCCTCCCTCCCTCTTCCACTAAGCGGAACAAGAAACACTTTCCCGACGCCCACAATAACCACCTTACTTTACGGATTTCCAATCTCCGGTGGGAGATGGCGAGGGAGATACTTATATCAGATGGCCAAAACCTAACTTGGAAGTGTAATTCCGTGATTGAGGTTACGCGAACTTCTGCATTAACACCAGCTGGAAGAGGAAAGCAGGCAAGATGAGAGATTACGGTATGGGGCGATGCTTATTTGACGTCTTAATCCTATATTGCCACGAGATGGGGGACTTGCCTTCAAGGGTTCTTGGGGTTTAGAGGTGTGGAGAGTCCTTGTACTATCTCCTATCCCTATTGATCGTACATTGTAATTTATGGTGTTGTGTCGGAACAGCATCTAGTGGTATGGAAATACTACCCTGCTCTAGTCCCCAGTCTACCGCATCGGCACAGAAGGGTATGACAACGCGGAGGTTCGTCTCGCACGGTATCATGTCCGCGCTACACAAATGCCTTTCGTGGGTACTAAGCTTACCGCTCTTATAGTCCTTACATATATGTGTATTCTGAGACAGGTCAAAATGGCTTGATCGAGGAATTGTCATGTAGAGACAGATTAGTGATCTGTAAGAGGGCTCTTGAACGATTGGGTGATATTGGAGGAGATGATGTGAGGTATGATGTGCTGTATGTGGTATCTTACATACTTGTTGGAATTTGAGATGATGATGAATGTAACATCTCGATGGCTTTACTACGAGGTCTTTCAATGAAGAAGTTATGGGATACTGAAATGATGAGGAATGGAGAGTAGGAATGAAACTAAAGGGAATGATTCAAACGGCTGTTTATTTTGAACATCCCTAAGATGTATAGATCCTTGAAGGTCGATCGTTTTCGAGTTGTAAATTGGACAAACTCCGTCCTTACGCCCAGAACTTTACATCCCAATAGACACTTCCCATTTACCGTTTCCCGAGCCAGAAGCTACTGCGGCACTTACTTACAAGGTTTCCGTGCATTACCCTCGCAGCCATAGGTATCCAGTAAGCCCTAGCCGCGCGCACCTTGGTCAACTACCGCATGCATGTTTCCAGCCTCTTCAGCCCTGTGGTTCATTACAGGGTGTAAAGGGGACAAGGTCTGGATATGGGGACATGTATTGTAATTGAAAGCGTGGATTATTTGACTGGGTGCATGCTAGAGGATTGAGGTGAGGCGGGAAGGGTATCTCTGTATGGAGGTAGGGTTTCTAAGGTTCGATAGGGTGGGTCGCCGTACGATTGGAGACAAGTAGAGGATACATTGGGAATGGTTAGGTGAAGTGAGTATTCAGAGACTTGATAAGAGATGCAGAGATTCGTTTTGTGTGCAACGGTAAGAACAGTGTGCTGATGGAGAAATACATGGCATAGCGAAGTGTGGGGGATGAGGTAATATGTATTTTAGGTAGTTCAAGCGAGACTCCGCAGTTGGGAAGTTATATACTAGGTGTTTACATATAACTCCAATTTTCCATTTCATCGAAGGAACCTGCTCTGATAACTCACAAGACATGTATTCTCGAAGTCCTTCCCGTTCTGTTACCCCGGCCACTGCAGACAAGGGCTGTTCCAGAAAGAAAGGTCTGAGGAGCAACAAACGAGATCGAGTTCCAGTGTCCTGTATCGAATGCCATCGTAGGAAGAAGAAGTGTGATAGAGCTGAACCATGTTTGGAGTGTAGGGAAAGGGGAAAAGAAAGTGGATGTAGGTACTTGGTTCCTCTGTGAGTACTTTCTTTGTTTCTTTGGCACACCGTGATACCCCTAAACATAATCCGTTGAAGGTCCTAATTCCATGAAAGTGTAACAAATAGCGAAGGCGTTACCCAAGCAGCGCGAAGTTGGGTAACGAACCGGAGATGTTTTACAACCAAGCAAAATGTCAACATAAGTCTTGAATCGGTCCAGTCCTTGGCCAGTTCTTCGAGAAAAGAGTATATGGTACCTGGATGTTGGGTTACCGATGGCGAGCGTGATCCTCAGGATATTCTGGCGCCAACACGAGCTTTTCAGCCAGGTCTTTATAATTTGCAGCAGATGATACCAGTGGGAATTCGGAGACACAGGGGATCAAACAAGCGTGGCGTCGCTACAAGTGGTTGGCTGGACTCGAACTTCGATCATGATGTTCTCGAGGTAGATGGATGGCAGAAAGCCACGACCACCGAAGTGCATATCAGAAGTCAGGGAAGAATCGATTGCGATTTACGAAGCCCGGAAGAATTTACCTTGAGTCCTGTTGGGCCACTATCGAAGGAGTACCTCATAGATTCCTGTATGTATTATACTGTTTCATATCAAAAATCTCAACAGCAATGCTGAAAATCAACAAGTTACAGCTAGGGATTCTATATCCCCAGAAGAGTCTTGGTTGAAGTAGTCCATCAACCACCCTCCCTTATTTTCCGCCACCCTCTTCGTATCAGCAGTCCACTTATACAGAGAGAACCAGCTGGTTGAATTATCAGCTCTGTATTACTACAGACACCAAACCATCCATCTCGCCAACGAAGTCATGCAAAGCGGTACGGTCGAGGAAAAGACAGGTGATGAGATGATTATGGTTGCTGTGATATTGCTCCACTTTTCGCTATCTCCAGATGTGTGCTGGAAGGAATATGAGATACATTTGAAGGGTATCCATCAAATGATTGGAATTTGAGGTGGAGTTGAAATGTTGGGTATGGGGGGCGTGGTAGGTTCCTGGCTTCAGAGAATCTTTGGGCCGTGGGGTGAGGGGTTTGAGTGGGTTTATTTTAGGGAGGCTTCGGAGGAGGAGAGGGGGAAATTGGAAACTGCGGTGAAGATCAAAATCGAGGGAGAAAGCTATGAGAGGAGGTTTGTTTAGGGATTTGGAGGCTGGTATTGGGTGACTTACGTTCGAAAAGTGTTGTAGTTGCTACACGTCTTCTTGTAGATATATCCTCCCGGCTATTCGTTTCTACCTCACTCTTCAATTTGGATGAAACCAGACAATATACCCATAAATTTGTGTAGCCAACGAGATACACCCATCCGTAATAGAAGAGTTCCAAGATATTGGGATTTGGCAAGAATAGCCTGATGTAGGATAAACCATGGGGGCTTTCGGAATTTGTATGTGACGATTTTATGTCAATCGCGAACCTCCAGGTCACATGGCATGACTCGCGGTATCTTGAACTTGTCTTCGCTACTTTTCCATTTGAGAAAGGGGCCTGTAACTTAAGATAGAAGTGAAAGTGTTTGTCAACGAATGGGTCCTGACTCCTGACAGTGGGGTAAAAAGGTGGTGATAGATACCTATAAATATACTGTACCTAATAAATTAAGATTGCTCTTAATGACTTGCTCTAGTAAGCAAAAAATAAGTTTGATATTTCAAAGCAGTTGAAGGTACTTTCCTCAAAGATTCCAGTCAGTCATCACTAAAGTAGTTTAAAGTATAGAAGAAACAATGGGAAAGTGACTTGGTGTTACCCCTTTAGTCCATCGCTTCGCTTCTCCCAGTTACCAAGACACTTCACCCACAAGCACCCAAATCCAGAAGCTGTACCTTGATTGGTCATCTGCTATATTCCATGTTGCGTTTCCCAGATGGTATAAATATCAAAATATATATTTTGCAATGGTCACAGACACTAGCTCATATATTGTAATCACCGACATTTGCTTCGTCAACCTAATATCCTAGTAGAGACAAGATGCTTTAAGTTCCAATACCAAGCTAATAACACTATAAGCTATAAATCCAAGATTACCATTATCCCGCATAGTCAGATTGACAGGGCTGAATACCCGTCTCACTAAGATTGTCTGCTGCTGTGTAACTTTGTAACTTGGAGAAATAAACTAGGTATGAAGTCTGATGAAAACAACGTAATTATGGGTAACAATAAGCACTTCCAACTTGAAAGTGACGATAAGTGACAATTGGAGTAAATAACAAAGCATGAGGGTGAATTGGAGAGAGCGTCATGCCGCTGTCAGATAGCTTTAGGTTTGATGGTTTAGACTTGGCAGCATACTTGAGTAGGTTTTAAGAGTAACAAAGATGAAAGAAGAGTGAATAAAATCAAAACTCATAAACAAATAGCCTATGAATAATAATCTGGGAGTTCTATAATGGACTAAGAGTGACGATTTGAGAGTTAATTCCTAGGTTTTGCTATTCACAAATCCTACTCATCCAATCAGAAGCTGTAGAGCATAGAAGGTTACACAAATTCACTAGCCACATTTGAGCACAGCCGCTGAACCCCAGATTAAGGATTAAGGAACTGACGCCACAAGTTTTGTTTAGACCTTCACACAAACACACAGAACGCGATCAAGTACATCTTACCATTTCACTAACGTGCACTCAATCACCACTGCTTCAGAACCCCCCACCCGTGAGATGATCTGATCAACAGAATTTGCGGGCGATCTTTTGCTGGTAGGTTTTGGTTATTACTTTCACAGGTCCTCACCGCATCGCCATAGCCCCTCCATTGTCTTAATTGCATTCATATCCGCACGATCTGACGCTACTTTCTTTATTAACAACCCCTCCGCCTACCTGTCCCTTACTCTCGCCTTTGAGCGACAAGACACCTCTTTGATCTTCAGCTTTACTGAATAGTCTACTAGTGCGACCGCATATCCCCCGAACGGCATACGTGATTGCGATCGATCGCAATCGCAAGCGCAATCCCTCCTTTACAAAATTCACGATCAAACAACCCCCATATACAATGTTTCCTTCCATGGCTCCTGGCAATGGAACTGCGGGTCCTCGAAAGAAGGTAGCGACCTACGGGAAAGGTGCCAGAAAGCGAATACCTCAATACCAGGCGCCGGCGAAGGTTACGAAGGTGCAAACGTCAGAAACAGAAGCTGTACAAACGGATGAGGCTGAGTCCTCCTCGCAGCCTTCCCCCAAGTCGCCCACAACAGTCACCTCGCCCGTAAAACGAAGTATTTTCGACGTTCCTTCCAGCGACGAAGAGGGTTTTACAGCCCGGAGGCCGGAGAAGAAGAAGAAAACCCCCGCCGCGCGAGTCCCTAAGAAAAGTGCCCCGGAGACCCAAAAAGAGAAGGAAGATGAGGGCATGGCAATTATGCAAAGTAGGAAGAGAGTCAAGTTATCTCCTGCGCCTGCACATATCTCAAAACAACCTTTGCGACAACTGCCAGTCACCAAGGCGCAATCCATGGTTGCTGTCGCAAAGATGCCCCCGAAGGTGGTTCAGAAGGTGGTTCAGAAGGTGGCCGCCAAAGTTGCCCCAAAAGTAGCCACAAAATCTACATTACAAAATTCAGCGGCATCCTTCCCTGGAAGTGGGCATACAACGTCCATAGTTTCTAGACCAAGGCGAAATGACCGCCAGAGCGAAAGAGAGGCTGCGAGGCCCGTCGCAATCGCTAATGGGAAGAAACTCGAGAATAAAGCAGAGCCAAAGATTCAACAGAAAGTTGAGAAGACGAATATAAACAAATTACAGACGCCCAAGAAGACAGCGCCTCCACTCAGAAGAACTCCACAGCGCAAGATATCATCTCCTGACTTCGCCGACATAGATATGATGGATGTAGATTTGCTCGCGACTCCAGGCTCTGGAAGGAGAAAACTATCACCTAAGGGATTGCAACTTTGGGACGGATTACTAGATTCTGCCAGTGAGCAGGTCGAAAGCCCAATTGGAACAAAAGCGGCGTCATCAGGTATGGCCAGTTTGGGCTTGGGAGGTTCACCAGTTGTATCCACTGGCCCAAAACAGACTGGTTCTAGAACGCAAATGCCCCGTCGCCGATTGATCGATTCTTTGGTAGCTCAAATCCCCAAAGAGGACCTAGAATCCGAAGACGAGGATGAATCAATGGATGACGATGATTCTTCTTCCGCAACCAATTCTTCTAGAAGTCAGAGCCCTGCTCCAGAAGTCGTAAGTCAGCCAGCTTTACCAGCAGATAGTCAGACGTTACAATCTAGTCAAATGACTGGTCCAAAGATTACGTACAGCCGTCAACGTTCGATGCTAGAAGAGGAAGATATCATGCTGCAACTGTCTCAACCCTTGCCCGATATGCCCGAAGATGGCCCCAAGGGACGACGCAGACTTCGTCGAGCTTCGATGTCAAAGCTTCCATTGCTTGCAAGCTTCCGTGAAGAAGACGACGACGGAGAAGGTGCGGGGGCTACGATTCGCAGTGTGCATGAGTTGAGAGCTGCAGGTGCCAGCACTCGAGTTCTGGATGAGATCCAGGATCTCATTGATCGAATTGGAAAACCGACTCCTACTCAGGTATCGGGAAGAAGAGCCAGCCTTCTCGAACTAGCGAAACAGCTGAAGGATAAGGCTTTTTCCCGTCACTTTTTCGCAGAGAGTACGCAAGAACGCCTATTTTTAGGTCTTGGTCAGGAGACTGATACCATTGCTGGTTTCGTTCTGGTCTCTATTCTCATCACCGTCCTAGGCGAAGTTGACGTTCTCCCATTTGTGCTTCAACTTCGTCGCCAGGGAATTACTCGTCTCTTGATTCGCCTATTGGATGTTCAATCAAGCGTGGTCCTTGTGTCTAAGGATCGTAAGAGCAACACCTCCAAAGTGGCCCAGAAGATGATTTTAGACCACCATGAATATGTTAAGGGTCTTGCAATCTGGGAGCCTTTGGAACCAAAGTCCCTGTCACCTCGTACTCTTGCTTTGAAATGTCTTGAGATAATGACCGAGCAGACCAGAGAAGCAAGGAGTGAGGCGGAAATCTTCTCCAAAGAGTTGACAACCAGGCTTTTCACTATTTTGAAGAGCGCGTCTGATGAAAGATCTTGGGGGTTTCCTGGGCATCAGTCGATTGATTTTTATCTTGCATTGTCTGCACTGACATCACACTCGACTAGAGCTCGAACCGTGCAAGACGAGAAAATTTGGATCACAAATTTCCTACCGACTATTTCAGACACATTGAAGATTGCTTTGTCTCAATCTCTCCAAAGTCACGGACCGCTCCACACTTTGATTTTCAGCTTGACGATTAATGTTACCAACAACAATGCTAAGGCGTGTGATGTGTTTGCCCAAAGTGCGCTCATTCGTGAAATGAGCAAATACGTAGTAGCAAAGTTCCAGCAGATTTCTGGTTTTATGCTTCAGGCAGATTCCGAAATGGCAGTCAATCAATTGATTCTTATTCTGGCATCAATGATTAACTTTGCAGATCAAGATTCCAAAGCTCGGGCAAGCATGGACACAAGTCTGCTCGAAGAGGGCATTGATACGTTGGAAGAAATGGTCACCATTTGGGCCGGTAGCCAGGACAAAATTTCCGAGGTAAGTACTAATTTGGCTCTTTTTTCCCATGGAATATACTAATTGACCCGCAGGCATCATCAATGGAAGAAACCGAAAAACTCATCCCATTCGGTTACCTTGGAGTCTTGCTTGGATATCTGGCATTGGTGCCTGAGATATCCAAACGGATTCGAAAGAAGCTTCCTGGCCAATCACTTAGATCCTTGATTTCCTCTATAGAAGAATTTATGATGAGGCATAGTGAGGTTGATAGTCAGATCCAGGAAGGTGATATGTTTGAGTCTGAAGAGTCGAAAAATACACGGGTCGCGATGACTAGAAAACTCGAAAAGCTGCTGGAGCAGTTGGGCACACGATAGTGAAGTGTGGTTCCTGCGAGAGGATCCGATTTCACGAGTAACATATAGGATGGCGTATTTGATTTTTTTAGATATCAAGTCGTTAGACGCTGGGGACTAGGGGACAGGTGAACAGGTGAGAATTCAGGCGGGCATGGTCCTGGAGCCATACCATGGAATGCTTCTAGTGCCTTCATGAGGGTATTTCTTTTCGGTCTGCGAGCATTATACCCCCAATGCATGTATTGAGTATAATGATGGTTATTGTAATACTTTCAGCAGACAGAGATGAATACAAGTCTGTACGGATACATACACATTTATACCCATTTTGTTCTAAAGGCTTTTCCCTCCTTTTCTAATCTACAGATTTGAACAGGAAATCTTGTTGCAACTACCATCCCACCTTACCTTTGAACCGCTACCTACAGTAATTAACTAGCGGTGTATTCCAAGGCTCATTACCGTGTTAATATTTAGCGATGTGACAGAAATAGCTGATCCATTCATGCACTCGCTTTGCTTCGGTTCAGTGTAAGATACGTACGGAGGTCATCTCCGGTGACTCAGGCCAGGAATCAAACCCAGTACGGTATCTTATATATGATATCGGTGGGAGCGAGTGTCACTTTACCAGATAAGAAGGGAAAAGTAGTGGAGTATATAAAGCTGTTGGAGAGGGTTTTGGATGGGATATTTTGAAGCTAGAGTATTATATTCTGGGATTGATTATTGATTGGATAACTTTTTGGAGGTCCTTTAAGTGGAGAGGTTGGAAGAGGGTTGTTATTGGTTGTTGGTTTGGGGGAGTGGATGGATTCGCTGGTCCTTGTGTTTAGGTCGGGTCGGGTCGAGGTGTGAGTTAATTGGGTTGTTTTTGGGGTCCGGGTGTGTTTACATCGTTGGTACCGTGAGGTTGGGAAGTTGGCCGATATCGGGATGTGGGGTTCGAGTTGATTGTTGGCTTGTTGGTTGGAGTTTTTGTTTTAATATGATCTGACCGTTCTTTGGTAGTTGGGAGTTAATGAACGTGATGTCGTTACTTGTTGGGGTTATGGGCTTTGAATTGAGAACATGGTGTGAAGATGAATTCGGGTTTGCTTTTCGATCAATACTGTAATGGATCATCTTATCTTGGTGAACTAATAAGTCTAGGAACTCAACTACCGTAGACCCTTCAGCATGTCAATAATAAGGCGCATGCAATGCCGTGTCGTCGGGTCCCCGCCATAAACATAACGCTAGAACACGTGAAATTTGTAAGCTGGGATCTTCATGTCCTATGTCCGAGCAGTGGTGGGATTGACAGTGCTATTTTCGACTAGTTTGATACTGGCAAGCCATGGAATTTTCCAGATCTTCAGGAACTGAGGGTTCCGGATACGCTACGCCTTTGAGTTTGGTTGGAGAGTGTAAGGTCGGATTACTTAATTGCGGAGCCATTGTTGGATTTTCGAGTGATTGGATATGTTGAGGCACTAATTTACTAGGAGGGAATCGTATAGGTTAAAAGATATTTACGGATCTTATACGTGAAGGGTGAGTAGAAGCGGTATGGGTCTGGTTGGGTGAGGCGAACGAGTAACGAACGGAAGTCAGTTCGGGACTCGGAGTTGGAGATTTGTGTCGAGCTAATCACTATTCCAACTTTCTGTGTCATCAGTCTGTAAAGAACTCTTTTAAGAGTCACATATTCAATAATTTTAATGGTATTTTGGAGCTATTCGGTTAGAGACTTGCATGTGCATTGCATGAGATGATGTTATATTCCGCGGGTTGGTTGTACAGAGTACAAACATTACCGGAAGTAACTATCTGGGTACTGACCCTTGGGAAAGAGGCATATCTCGGGGAGATACAATATGTACTGTACGGTACTAGGTCATACAACGAGATCTTACATCCGGCCCCACTACGCCTTTCCCCGGCTAGACACAAGATAGAGAATTACTACGAAAGTCCAAGTCTAAATCTCAAACAAACCAACACAACTGATGGAATCTTCCGAATAAGACAACTATTTTCTGAAAAGTCGGGTCCGTGACGGAGATGGCTGATCTTGTGGACTGCTGCTTACGGATGCAATACTTCTAACACTATGCTGCATGTCAAAACAACCTATCAAAATCCAGTGTCAGAAGGGCGTCGTTTAGTAGTCGTTAAGAATGCGGCGCCCATACCGTCAGACCCACTCTAACCGCTCCCCTTTTAAGCTTTTCAAATGTACCACGCCCTACGGTACCACAACTCCGCACCAAATACTCCGGTGCTCGGCTGACGATCTTGAGCCAGGAACGCCCAAAGGGAACCTTGTGAGTCAGGCCTACGACTTTTTTCCTGTTACACATGTGAGGAATATGTAGCTATCAAATTTGCATCTCGTATATATGCACAATTAAGTCTCTCGTTTTCTTGTTTTCTTCTACTCATCCGTTCATCTCGTTTGCCAACTGTTTGTACGTCCAAGTTGAGTTTGGATCGTCGACTCGGTACAAAGTATCACCATACACTGCCACATTTCCCCGCATTCACCTGCATTAAAAGATAACGATTCACGAGGATCCTTTATCATTTAGGTTACAAATCAAGACTCGTCCTTGAACTATCACGATATATGACGACTTGTCGTTCCGACTTTCCGCGAAGTACTCATACTTTTACATATATATTATGTCTTCCTACGCAGCCTCCATTACTTCAAATCCCTTTGCAACACACACCAAAAAGTCAACTGCTGTAGCGCATCCAGAGATGGAGATCACACTGGATCAACATACCGATGAGAAGATATACACCACATGGGATGCAATCTCTGGAAGAGTAGCCATCACCGCACCTCACACATCTCGATTTGATGAAGTTCAAATCACACTAGAAGGATGTGTGAGGACGTATGTGGAAGCATTATCACCAACTCACACAGCAGCCAAAACGACAGCAGTCCACAGATTCTTGAAGATGATCATGCCAGTCTCGGAATCAGAATATCCGCACCCGAGGGTCGCGGAGGCTGGTCGAACTTATACCTTTCCTTTCAACTTTGTTATTCCGGATCGACTTTTGCCTCGGTCGTGTTCTCACCCGATGGTCGCGGATCACGTTTGTGAGGCACATTTGAATCTACCACCTAGTATGGGTGACCGCGAGATTCTCCATGGAAAGTCTGATATGGCGCCTGAGATGTGTAGAGTTCAATATTCGATTCGGGTCAAAGTTATGAAAAATGGAGACAGAGCGGATGACAAGAACATCTCGCTTGTCGAAGGACAGAAGAAAATCCGCGTGGTACCTGTTGTTGCCGAAGCCGCGCCTCTCAACGTTGGGTACGGACAGGATAAGTTTGTTCTCTCTAAAACCAAATCGTTGAAGAAGGGATTGTTCTCCGGAAAATTAGGCAAGATTACAATCACCGGAGCCCAGCCAGGTGCAATCGTTCTTCCAGCACCATCGTCCAAATCGGATGTACCACCTACGACCATGGCAACAGTCCAGCTCCGATTTGACCCAAAAAAGACCTCTTCTAAACCACCACGTCTGGGAGCTTTGAGTGCAAAGATCAAAAGCTCTACCTTTTTTGCCGTACGACCAACGGCTCATCTTCCAACACATCGTAACTCCTCATCTCAATTTGCAATTCACAGTGGTGTTTACGACAACACGGTTTCTCTTTCTTCCCGCTGTGTTGAATCCGTCCAATGGAGAAAACACCTCCCAACACCTGTAACTTCCAGACGAGGATCGGCATACTCAGATAGCTCATCAGATTACTCCGATAGCACACAACTCCTCAACCTGGAGGAAAACACTCTCCACTACACCGCTACAATTCTCGTTCCCATCACCCTTCCCACAAGCAAGACTTGGATCCCGACATTCCACAACTGTATCTCCTCCCGCATCTACGTCCTGGACCTCTCCTTCTCTGTCCACACCCCAGGAACCGGCATCCTAGCATCCAACATGTCTCTGCACATGCCCCTTCAAATCGCCGCCGCGGGAAACCAGACCGAGAGACCGGCTATGACGGAGGCGGAAGCAGCAGCCGAACTCGCAGAAGTCGATGAGTTCTTGAGACCTCGAGTGTTGGAGATCCCCAGATCGGAGCTTATTGGGAATAGTGTCCTGTCACATCGCTTTACCGAGCTACCACCAAGCTACGAGGCCTTTTGTTCGTCTTCGCGCGAGATTGCTGGACGGTGTTAAGGATTTATTAGTTCAATTTTTGGTCTTTCTGTTCGGATTTAAAAGTGCAGCGTTTTTGGTATGGAGTTTATTTTTCTTCCTTTATTTGTCTATGGGAGAGCGGAATGGAGTATTTGATTATTGGGAGATGTTGTTAATTCATTGGGGCTTTTGAACTTTGGGTCCTGGTTATGCGGTATATTGGGTTTAGAGGGTTCTGCATTGGTTTAATGAGTTGTACATTTGCAAACGATACCCAAGATGGAATACAGCGATAATGATAACGATTTCTAAATATAAACGATTGAGAAGTTCTGCAAAGTGATTGTTCAGATATGTGTGATATTCATGGCCGTTGTCTTTTTTACCTTACAGTATCTGTTCCTCTCTCCGCAATCAACCTGAATCGCTCGTTTAATTACTTCAATTACCTAAGGATACTGAACTAACACCTACTTACGAGTATTAGACTCGCAGATTATTGAGAGTGATTAAGGGATATTTCCTACACAAGTTTCCATACTGTTAATTTCTTCTTGATGTTGAACCATCATGTTACTAGTGAGTTATTCCTAAGGGGCACTTCGCTAACAAGTCCCTATTTACAGGCGTCGAAGACCGGCTTCATGATTTACCCGGGCCGAGCGGGACATCGGGAACTGTTGGAAGTCACAGGCGACTCCACGAGTAGGGAAAGGTGTGATGAGAAAGTTTTCCGCGGAAACGTTGACATCGAGAATTCCGGTTCTAGAATACATTTTGATGCACATCTGAATTTTTTGGTGTAAAACCAGCCCAAAAATGGGTGGTACCTATTGACAGCCAAGACGGGCACAAATGACGAATGGCCTCGGGTTCAGGCTCAGGGGTGGAGAGACCCCCCCGCGATGCGCTGCGCTGTTCCCTTCTGTGGGCCCGCTGCCGCTTATTTACGAGGATGACTGGACCCGACTTCCAGGTTATTTGGTGTTTGCGCCGTGAACAACTCACCAAGTCACCATCGCTGGATCCTGCCATATTCCATGACATGTACTCCAACCTTTGGACCGAGACGGACCTAGGAATATCCAACTTCAAGTCGACACGGCCGTGGAGAGTATGCAAACCAGTCCGGGTTGTCTCTTGCTGCTGAACAGACTTGACGACGCTGCCCAAGATGGCGCAACCGCAACCTGCGGTCGATCCGAAGGCCTTTTATGGCTACCTCTTTCAGGCGGACAAGAAGCCTACCAAGTTGCTTTATCTGCTTCTCAGAGGCATCGCAAACTACATTGTGAGTATGCGCGGAAGGGTCGCGATGGCGCAAAGCTCCAGCTACAACTGTCACAGCTGAGGTGTTTGCGACTCGGAGGGCCTGGCGCTTACCTATACTGATGACTGGCAGAGAGAGAATGTTGGAGATACCGACGACAAGAAGCTCACTCCCGCCAAGCTGGCCAGCTTCTACAAACTTGTTGGAGGCAACTACGATTGTGGGTGATCCCTATCCCTATTCCCATTCCCATTCTCATTCCCAGTCCTCTACCCTGAACCGGCCTGACATGATGTTGTACGACAGCGCTGTTCGTCGAAGTACCGCATCCCTCGATATCCTGGATATACGCCTCCATAGGCTGCCAGCATACCCTCCAACCTACGGAAAACGATTTTACTCCTCCATCCGTTCCCGCCCTCACCACGAAAGGGTTCGTCCGATGGCAGTCCATAGAGATCCTGCTGGGTCCCGAGGAACATGTGCCATTCATACAGAATGCTGTGGGAAGTTTCCACATAAAGAACCCGGAAACCGGGGAGGTCTTTCCGGTTGAACTGCCGAAGGAGGCATTTCCACTCAAACCAGACGCAGAGATAGAACGGTGGCACAGCGAATGTGCCGCCAAATTACGGGAAAGGGCTACCCCAGACGAAGAGGATGTATCACTGCGTCCGGATCTGCCTCCACGCCCGAAAGTACAAACCGCCTACAAACATGTGCGACCCGAGTACTTTGCCAAAGAGCCTAGATCGCGTGTTCCAACCAGACCTATTCCATATCAGCATGTACCCGTTGCTGCTGGACGAGCGGAACGCCCAAAATTGTCCAGATCTCCAGATCATAGAGCTCGTCAATTTCTTGCGCCGGAAGAACCGCTTTCTCCCCGTCTTGCGAGAGCGAGAAGACGTAGCTATCCTGAGAATCTGAATTCTCCTGGTACAAGTCCCACAGGTGCCCCACCAGGACCATCGTTAAGACCTCCGGAGCATTCACACGCGCGACGACATAGTCATCCAAGACATCCTCGTCATGGAAGTGTTTCTCCCGATGCATCTTCTGAAGATGATTATGATCCACATTTAGATCCATCAGCCACTGAACCGAGACGCCGTTCACATCCCACTTCTTACCGGGGAGTACAAGTGGAAGAGGAAGTTAATTCACCACGTTTTGGTCCCTCGGTAGCGATGCCACCACCACCCGCGTCACCTAGAAGAAGATTGGCACGGTTTCATGAGGCGAGGGATAGGGATGAGGAAGCCAAGAGGCGGAGCTACGCAATACCGGTTGATTTATCCGGCAAGCTCTCAACTCCATTCATGATGGATAGGGATCGCGAGCGGGAGCGTGAGCGTGAACGAGAAAGAGACCGAGAAAGGGATCCTCGAAGTAGTTCTAAGAATGCAGGCAAGGTCAGCTGGAAAGACCTAGATTTTAGTGACATGTGGAAAAGATCCAGCAAGGAATCCTCTCAGGATGAACACTCGGGTCATTCAAGACATCGAAGTAGTGGTGAGGATAGGTCTGATTATAAAAGACGAGATCGAGAACGGGATAGGGAGAGAGAACCTAGACCACGACCTCATTCGAGACGAAGTAGTCCTACCCCTGAGGATATCTTGCGTCGAGAACGAGAAGCCGTTCCTATACGACCGAGACCCCATTCGAGGAGAAGTAGTCCAGAGGAACTTCCCCGACGGGAGCGGGATAGGGATAGGGTTCGTGAGAGAGATTTGGGAGGTAGAGGGGAGGGACGGGAGCATCGTAGTTTGAGGGAGAGAGATCGTGAAAGGGAGAGGGAGAGGAGGTATGAAAGTCCCCTCAGAGGGGTTGATGGAAGGAAATATCCGAGTCATAGTTGAGTGGGGTTCGAAGTAGGTTTGGATGGTAATGATTTAATGTGACGGATGATGCTAGCTATTATGATTTAGCAAAGGGACGGATATATGGGAAGGCTATGGCTAGTTATGGGGGATGGATATGAGAATATTTGTTGTCATGAGGCGTTTTTCTTTTTAGGTTTGCATATTAATACCACTCTTGTTCTTTTGGATTCTTCACCATTGACGTTCTTGGGTATCTTACAGTAAGAGAGTCGTGAGAATTCTCACAAACTGGTGCGTTTTCTACCATCAAACATGTAACATGTTCAATAGATCTCAAATTCCTTTCTGGTGGAGTGTTCAACTCCTTTAAATCCCTGAATTTGCAGCGTTACATATAGTCTTCTCTTTCCCCTTGCCGCGAACATTTTGAAGTGGTAATGTCTTCTTCTTCTTCTTGCTTTTTTTGCTAGAATGAGTGAACTGAATTCATCTTGCTCTATTATGACATCGATATCGCGGACTACTTGAGTATTGAGAACTTATTAACGTGTTCTGATTTGCTCTAAGGGCGCATGAAGTTGGGAATTCCTAAGGGGGGAGGATGAGGTTAATGGTGTGGTGTGGTGTGGTGTGGTCTTCTTTACTTTCTGGGTAGATAACGGTATCAGTAAGCGGGGTGGGAAGGGCGGTGGGAAGGGCTCGGAAGGTTACGTATAGGTAGGAACCTATAGTAAGATTACAGGTTATTGTTAGGAGACTCTAATAAGCTCAAGGGCTGGGATGTACAGCTGAGGTGGAAAGTACTTGTGCGAGTATAGTGGCTTGCAATTGAAGGAAATGAAGATGGAAATAACGAGTTTATTTTATTTACGAGTATGAGTATGTATGGGAGTTTTGTTTGAACCAACCCGTAGGTATTGGGGGTATTGGTGGACTAGTTACTAATTAGGAATAGACTATGTGTATATATATATCTCTCTCTCCCTTTTCGGGTAATATCTCGTGAGGGAAGTGATATCCCAACCTAATGTTCCACGTTTTGTAAATACCAGGGAAGGTAGGTAGGGGTACAGTAATGCACGATCTCACCTATCACATTGACGGTTCAAGAGCGGAGATGGGGACTCGGGGTTACGTAGTTATTAAATGGAGGTATCGGACGTACCTACCTCCACGGGTTGGTTGGTTGGCTTTGGGACAAACCAACAACCGCTACAAACATGATAGAATGTTTCCCAACAGTCGAAGCTGGGAAGTATCAGGTACTGAGCTCGGGGGCCGGAGATAGGAATGAAGGGAAGGTTGTTGGGTATATAAAGTCCTGTTTTTCCTTTCTTTTGGTTTGTATCTTGCTACTTACTGTAACTAACATTGACGTGTTTACTGGTTCAGTTGAAGCTTGAAAGGGAGATTTATATATTTTTTATAAAGTGAGAGGGATAATCTTTTTGTTAAGAGGAAGAAAGAAAGAAAGCAATGCCTCTACCCTTCGAAGGAAAAACAGCTCTCATCACTGGCGGATCAAAAGGTATCGGCCTAGCCATCTCCCACCACCTCTCCTCCCTCGGCGCAAGAGTCATAATTAACTATGCCTCTTCATCATCCGCGGCCGACGCAGCAGTCTCCTCGTATGTTTTCTCCCTTCCAATTCTCCCCTTTCAGTACTCCTCTATCCCCATCCTCATCTCATATCCCCTTATTATAATTTGACCCAACTGACCAGCCCAGAATCGGTCCCGACAAAGCCCTAGCCATCCAAGCAGACGTCTCCTCCATGACCGATCTCGACCGCCTCGTCAAAGAGTCTCTCGCGTGGTCCGGCGGCAAGATCGATATTTTAGTGAATTGCGCGGCCATATTAAAGCCTGCCGAGTTGGAAGGGGTTACAGAAGCGGATTACGATCAGGTTTTTGGGTTGAATGTTAAGGGGGTTGTGTTTTTGACGCAGGTCCGTACTCTCTTTCTCTTTCTCTTTCTCTTTCTCTTTCTCTTTCTCTTTCTCTTTCTCTCTGAATCTTCTGTCCATGTTTTGTGGGGGGAGTGGATATTTTGATGCACTCATACGGGTTCATCAACCCATCAACTCCTACACAATCTCGCAAAATGTTCACCCTCCTCCTCATACATCACAAACCAAGAACGAAACAAGAAAACTAACGTCAAAACCAAACAAACAGAAAACAGCCCCCCACATGCCTTCTAACTCCCGCATAATCCTCTTCTCCACAACCCAAGCACACGCCTCCACCGTCACAGGCCCCTCCCTACCTAATCTACGCAAAGGCGCAATCGAACAAATGACCCGCGTCCTCTCCAAAGATCTAGCCAGGAAAGGAATAACCGTTAACGTAAATTTTTCCTTTTTCCCTCTATCCCTTTCTCCTTTTCCCCCTTTCCTCCCTCCATCCCTTCCCCTCACCCTCACACCCCACCTCTCAATCCCAAATCTAACACCAAGCCTACAACCAGTGTATCGCCCCGGGACCCACAGCAACAGACATGTTCTTCGCAGGGAAATCCGAGAGTCTCCTGAAGATGCTCGCTTCTCTCAACCCGCAGAACCGGATCGGGGAGCCCTCGGAGATCGCGAGTGTAGTGGGGTTTCTGTGTGGGGAGGGGGCGAAGTGGGTTACGGAACNAGATGCTCGCTTCTCTCAACCCGCAGAACCGGATCGGGGAGCCCTCGGAGATCGCGAGTGTAGTGGGGTTTCTGTGTGGGGAGGGGGCGAAGTGGGTTACGGAACAGACGTTGAATGTTAATGGGGGGACGGCTTGATTTGGATGTTAGGGGGTAAGGGGAAAGAGGGAGGGGGGAGGAGAGGGGAGGGAGGAAAGAGAGGAGAGGGGAGTGTTGTTGTTTTCTTGGCGGTAGGGTAGTTGGTTGTGTGGTTAGAGAGATTTACTATAACTAATAATTAAAATACTCTATTCGTCTATATTTACTACTAATAACTCTATTTAATAATCCTTTCTTACTCTCTTCTTACATAAACTAAATCTCTAAATCAATACTATGTACATCCATACTTATAAATCTTCCCCCTCCTATTCTATCTCTACCAAGTATCTCAAAATCCCTTTAACAAAATAAAACTTCCAACACTCCATTCAATCGCTTATTTAGCGTAAGTATTATAAAGAGCTTATATCACATCTAATCTAATCACATCATATTATCCTCTCTTTCTCTCTTTCATACCAACCAAATAACGGCTCTCAGCCGCCGTGGGGCCCGTTTTCCAGAATCTCTCCCATTCCCTAAAACTATTCACTTATTCACCCCGCCCCCTACCCCCCCTCTCACACTCATCATCTTAACTAAGACCCCTCCCACCAAGTCATCCGGTACAGTACATGCCTGGGTAGCTTAATAGAAACATAGCTTAATAAAAACAGCAAGTAAGAGCTTCATCTTGAAGATCAACTGATTAGTCAACCCGTAAACAAACTCAGTTCCGTCTAGTTTCTTGTCCGAGACCGCTTTCTGTGAGAGTGAGGATTCTTTTGTGATATTCTTTTTCCATTTTTTGCGGTGTTTGGTTTTGGTGGAACTTTTGTTTTTTAGAGGGGGGTAGGGAGTGAGGGTAAGAGGTAGAGAGGGTGAGAGGGAAAGAGGGAGAGAGGAGAGAGGGAGATAGGTAGAGGGTTTTTTATCGAGGTAGTTGGAACTAGGTTGTGGTTGTGGTTATAGTTATATTTTCTAGGTATAATAAGGGGGAGGGAGGTATAGGCGTATTTAGTATAGTATAGTATAGTATAGTATAGTATAGTATAGTATAGTATAGTATAGTATAGTATAGTATAGTATAGTATAGTATAGTATAGATTACTAAATTAAAGGAAAATGGAATGTGGGAAGGTAACGTGTGAGGGGCGTGTAAGTGCTTGGAAAGGGATGTAAGAGAGGTGGGGATATATATACGGATGGAGGGATGGATAAAGGGATGGATGGATGGATAGATACATGGGAGTCTTAAGTAGAAGTAGGAGTAGGTTGTTTACTTTACTTATATATAGGTACTCAGGAGAGACTATAATAATCTATATATTTTTAGAAGGTCGTTGGTCGTTGATATATGCGTAACTGTAACTGTAACCCAAGACAATAATATAATACTACTCACCAAAAAACACTCACTCTAATCCAAGTCTCCAAATCTCAGTCTCAGTCTCCGTTGAGATCCTAACAACAACAAAACTATACATCACTCTGATAAAATATAGTAAATGAGAAGCTGGTTAAGTGCTTGATTATTCTACTATGGATGCAGCTAGTTTATATATAGCTAGCTAACAAAGAGTCTACTATAGATATAGCTAGTTTATGTATAGCTAGCTAACAAAGAGTCTTTAACAAATTAGACATAATGTAGTAGGACGGATTACGTAATTTCAACAGCCCCCTTAATCCGTACTACGAAAAGTAAGGCTATTCCTAGATTCTGAATCTTAGTATGTCCCTGAATTTATATAACCCTTCTCGTAGGAGAGCTTTTGTAAGACCGTCAGCAGCTATATAGTTTATAGGGATATATTTGAATATAATTACACTAAATTCCACCTATTCCTGCTACTATTAATACTAGATTCTAATATATTTTGTCCGGGGCGTATAGTAAGGGGTTTTAGATAGTATAATAGCCCCTTAGTTATCGGCGAATATAAGTGTAGGTTTATTGTTTGTTTAAATACCGAGTTCCTAGAGTAATTATTAAAGCTAAATAGCTTCTTTTCCAGCTAAAGTTTAACTAAATAACTCGGCTTCGTAGGTTAATAGAACTATAGTAGCTTATTGTTTTAAGCTCTATAATATAGCTCTACTTCCGAGATTAAATAAGTATCCTAACGTTAATTAGCTAGTATTTTTATTATCCGCCTAGCTAGTATCTATATATCCTTAGAGTTTTATATACTATCCTTCGAAAATAAGTATAAGATTAAATATACCTTTAAAGTATCAGAATAAGTTTAGAGCGCTTGTTCGTATGTTTTCGTTAGTTAGTAGGAATAGCGGCTAAGTACTAAGACTAGATATACTATATCTAGATATATTCCTAGTATTATATATATAATACTACTAATCTTTTACTAGTATTTAGTAATTACTTCTAGTTCCGTGTCTAATCTAAGGAGAGCTAGCTTAGGGTAATAGTTTAGATCTATTAGTAGAATAGACGGATTATAATTACTTATACCGAATTAATCTAATACTTACTTAATATATACCCTCTAGTCTAATCGGATAATTTTGTTTTTCCGATCCCGAGTTATTCTAATTCCTAGGTAGTACGATATAGGTCCTATATCTATTATATTAAAGTATTATATAAGCGAAGCTTTTAGCGTAGATATATATTTCGGGTTAGGTCCTATTATTAGTATATTATCGACGTATATAGTAAAGAGTATTCGATTATTTTTAAAGATACTAGGGTCGGAGGAAAGTAGTTTAAATCCGAGTTTATATAGTTTATCTAAAAATATTTTATACTAGATTCGGGAGGATTGTTTTAGTTTATATAGTACCTTAACTAATTTATATACCTTGTTATTATCTATTTTAAAACTAGTAGGTTATTTTATATATATCTCTTCTTTAACCTTATTATATAAAAAGATAGTTTTTATATTTATTTACTTAATTTCTAGGTCCTCTAAGACTATAAGAGTAAAAAGGGCCTTATATTATAGGCTTTATAAATAACGTAAAGGTTTTATTATAATTAATACCTTCTTATTAAGCGAATCCTTATACTACCTAGTAAGCTTCATACCGTATAATTCTACCCGCCGAGTCTCGCTTAATTTTATATACCTATTATCTACTAAGAGCCTTTTAATTTAATAGTAATAAGGATAAGTTCTAGGTATTATTAGTAATAAGCGAGTTATATTTATTCTATATTACCTTTATTTACTAAGTTAATTCGAGAGATAATATAGCGTTTCTATATATTATTAGTTCCTTAGTGTCACGAATCACGTGCACACGTGATAAGTGAAGACCAGGCGGCGTCCTGACAGGTCAAGCACATCTATAGACTTATAGCAAATAAGGGATCGTTTGGGCTAGCTAAGCGCTCCAGGGATTTCCTTGGGTTGGAATCACGTGACCAGCGACATGGCCGACACGGTCGACCGTGTCGACCATGGGCGACTGTTCGACCATGGCGACTATGGGAACGAGGGTTCTATATAATACTGGCACGTCTGCCATTAGATAGGAGCTTCGTGCTCAACTTAGTTATCAATCTTATCATATTAGTTTGACATCTTTGATACAAGTAACGAGTTCACTTCCAAGTGAACAACCCGATAGTCTTCTTCTTATCATAGCATACCAACCAGCGAACACCCAGCCAAGTTTAGTTAGCCAGTTTGAGTATTCGTTACATAATATAGTAGAATATACGTTTATAAATACTAGGTAATATAGTATAGATATAGCTAAAATTAGCCTTTATACTAGAAAACTCGTAACTATGTATAGTAGTATTCTATATAAAAATACTATCTTTGTTCTAAAAATAGTAGATATTCGAGTAGTTGAAATTCTATTTTTAGTATCTAAATAAAGGGTACGATTTATTACTTGTTTATAGCGGTAAGCCGGGCTTATAACCTAATTAAATATAGTAAATAAGAAGCTAGTTAAGTACTTGATTATTCTACTATAGATATAGCTAGTTTATATATAGCTAGCTAACAAAGAGTCTACTATAGATGCAGCTAGTTTATATTAGCTAGCTAACAAAGAGTCTTTGACAAAGTAGACATAATGCAGTGGGACGGATTACGTAATTTCAACACACTCACCCAGCAAGCTTTCCCCTCCTCCCCCTCCCATACCCCCAAAAGCAAAAGAAGGAAAAAAAAGAGGAGAAAAGAAAAAAAAGGACCAAAAAACCAAATACCATTCATTCATATTCGTTTATTCGTTCATTCATTGAATAACTCTCTACATTCATTATACCCTGTACCCCCTTTCTCCCTTACCAACCAACCCTTCTCACCAAACCTCTCTCTCTCTCTCTCTGTCTCAAAAGTTCCATAAAGAAAGAAAAAACCCCATCTTTCGCATCCCAATGCAAGTCTCAGAACGAGTAAGAGTAAAAAAAGGGAGGAGATAAAAAAAGGACCCATGTCATTCATGTTTCATCAGCAACCAAAAAAGAAAAAGAAAACTTCCCGCATGAAAAAAACACGATAAAAAGGGGGTCCCCCAAACTCCATACATAAAATCAGAATTAATATATCCCCTGCAACGACTGTTTATTTATGCATGCATGCTCGCCTATTCATCAATTCCCTCTTAGACCTACACTTGGTTGCTACTCAGGAACTGCACTCGTTCTCAACCCACTCGGTCCCTTGTTGCCTCTTCTACCTAACAAAGTAGCCCCATCGAGGTTCAATTCAAAAGCACCCTTTCTGTTTCTGACCTGCTGCTTCGCTGCCGCTGCGACTGCTGCACTGTGTTGACCATAGCCCTTTTGTGCTGGCTTCGCTGAGTTAAGGTTCGTGTTCTTCAGACTTTGAGCGACTTGATGAACATCCGCATCTTTGGCCTTGGGTAATTTGGAAGGAATGGCATCATCCACTTCATTCTCCTCTTCCTCGTCAAAATCATCGTCATCGATCGGGTTTAGTCCGTTCATGGCTGCTGCACCGCGATAACCTTGTTTGAAATTCTTTCGACGCTTTGCTTCCTCTTCTTGCCTGTGAACAGCGTAACCAACATCGAAAACTTCTCGTAAGTTAACGGCGCCAGGACTTCGGAAATCCATGCGTTTGCCTGCACCAGGAGACTCAAGCAGAGCTGCATCAAAAGCTCTTGCTGGATTGCCACCCAATTGCCTCTCACGTTCGACCGCGGGTGTGGCAAGAGGTGGTGCGTCGTGTGCTGCATACGTTGGTTCCTCTGTGCCTCGAATCCAAGGATGCGCTAGAAATTGGTTGATGTCATATCGCTTGACAGGGTCGACAGTGAGGAGATGCGAGACAAGATCTTGAGCTGGTTTGGAAATATCATCCCACCATGGTGACAAAAAGGTATATTGACCTCTAGCAACCTTTTCCGTAAGTACTTGAATGCTTTCATCGTAAAATGGAGGAAATCCGCAAAGTAACGTGTATAATACGCAACCCATAGCCCACATGTCGACACTCTTTGAATAACGCTCGTCCTTTACAATTTCTGGTGCTGTGTAACCGACTGTCCCGCATGGCGTCATCGTGGATTTGTCCCAAACAATTTTACTCAATCCAAAATCGGCAATCTTGATTTTACCGATCCCACCAGCACCGACACCCTTGATGAATTCACCCTCATCTACCTTGTCCTCATCGTCTTGGGATTTTGGTTTCGGGTTCTTTGTTGGTACAATTGGGATGGGCGAAAACAGTATGTTCTCAGGCTTAATATCTCTACGATGACGTCAGAATTGGTTCAAGTTTCAAGTTTGGAATACGTACCTGTGAACGACGCCTTGATCCTCATGCAAATATCGTAATGCTTCGGCTACTTGCGTAATGACATGTCTGGAGAGGTCCTCGCTGAAATACGTGAGGCGCACAATTTGGTGAAATAGTTCTCCACCTGGTGCTAGCTCCAGAATAATATAGTAGTACTGCTTCGATTCGGAAAAGTCGACGAGCTTGACAATATTAGGATGATCTAAATTTCGCATAATCTGAACTTCTTTCAGGATGTTCGCCCTCTATTTTCAAATATGTTAGCACCGAAGAATCGACCAGAATGGATAAAACTCGTGACTCGAGGTCAGTATAAGAAGAAAAAAATGTTTTTGCGCACCTCCACGACTTTGGGCTGCTTCTTGAAATCCGGATGAAGGGCCGCATCTCCCTACACGCAGACAATGTTGGCAAATGTTCAAAAACCATAAACAAAAGGAAATGCAGGGCTGTTGCCGATATGCATACCTGATTCGAATTCATTTCGAACTTTCTGACCACCTTGATCGCTACTTCTCCCGCCTTGCCATCCAAATCCCGAGCTCTGTAGACATTACTGAAAGCCCCATCACCCATCTTCTCGATCAATTCCCATCGTTCCAGACCCGGGTATCGTGGAAGTTTTCCTTTGGTGGCATTTTCTTCTTCGACCATTCGTCGCAGGTCTTCCGTGTTGACCTTCTTATCGGCTTTCTGCTTCTGTCCGGCGGCATTCGCAGCTACGTTTGCGGCTTGTGCACCACGATGTCTTCCATCTCCATCGGCCATGGAAAAGGCGTCTCCGTGGGGGGCGGGTGCCTGATATGCCATATTTGGGTCGGTATTTGCGTAGTGGTTTTGTGCCGGTGCCCGGCCTTGATGAACGTTTACGGGAGAAACATGTGTTGTTGGTTCGGCGTCCTGTTGTCGATTATGTTTGCCTGGAGAGGGACTCATCAGCGGGGCGTACAATAGTTGAGATCGGTGGTACCAGGAATATCATTGGCGGGGCTATTCTTCCTGATATGATATAATGATGGCAGTGGAACAGAGGTGGTACATACCGTGTTTGCTAATCAGATTCTTTATTGACTGAGAGAGACTCCTTGAGAATTGTTAGTCGGGTGTTCTGTAGGTGGCAGTGTCCAAACGTCGAGAAATCTCATTTTGGAGAGAAGGAGGGGCTGGGTTGATGGAAGGAGCGAGGTGGATACCACATTCCGCGGCAGGCTCAAGGTAGGAGGGGGGAGGGGAGTGGGAGGGGGAGGCGAAGCGTGACAAGGGAAGTGGGAAAGTATATACTCCGTACATACATTTTTTTGGGAGCTCCTTCTGGAGTCTGGATATGGTCGGTTAAGGTTAGTCTGAGATGGAAAGATGATAAGCTCGAGGACCAGGTGTCGTTGGGTAAGAGGGGAGGTGGGATGTGGGAGGTAGTGAAGAGAGAGGTAGGGTAGGAATAGGAGGGTAGGAGGGTAGGAGGGTAGGGTAGGAGAGTAGGGCAGTAGGGCAGTAGAGCAGAATGTGTAAGCAGCGCGCAGGGTTGATTCGCAGGTGCTCAAAGGACCAAAAGGGCGCTAGAACAATGACGATGTGCTGAGTTTCTGAAGCTGAACTGACGACCGGGCTGCCACACCAAAAGGGTGGAAGGGTTGAAGGGTTGAAGGGTTGAAGGGTTGAAGGGTTGAAGGGTTGACTGGTTGACTTCAACTTGCTCTTTACGCCTGCTGTCAGTGCTATGGTACCTCTGTTGGGGGTGACAGTACAGGTCAACTGCTGCTGTATTAAGGGAGATGGTGCACGAATCACCAGTCCAGCCTGTTGGGTGCCGCTGCCGCCCGCAACCCCAATTACGTCACTGACGATGGTGCGTCATATCGTTGGCCCTGCGAGCTCTCTCTTCACTTGCCCACCTCAGACCAGCACCAGCATCAGTGCCATGCCACGGCCAAATTCTTCGCAATTGCTGATGATGCCAACCAGGTCGGAGTCGGAGTAATCAGCAAACCTTAAGCTCATGAGCACAAGCCCAAGTAAGCTTCGGTCTTCAGGCACTCCCTGCCTTGATTCCAATAAGCGCACAGGACAGTACGACTACCTCCAAGTACTCTCACGAAAGTAGCCTCTACTCAGAGCGCACTGCTGCTACTGCACTGCTCATGGCCAGGTCTACCCCCGATCAGTACCTCAATGCCTTGACGCTCGACCTCGTCGCTTCCACTTCACCACACCAGACAAGAGGCCCTGATCAAGGGTAGAAATGGGCATGACAAGGAGGGTTGTTGACGCTGCTAATGCACCCGTGGGCACGCGCTCTGCACTGTGACTTCATCTACAATATGACGGACGGGCGCGCTCATCTCCCCACGAGCGACCAACGGGGGGAGGAGGGCATGTCGGATGCAACAAGGGAGAGATCCGTCAACGTACAGAGAACATGATGCGATGATATTCCGCCGCGCTGGAGAGGGGAGGGGAGGGGATGGTTGGTTCGAGGCTGATGGTCTGTTGGGATCTTTTCGCGACGATCGGTATTGGGAATGCGAGGGGTTTCCCGTCTCGACGCAACAATACGGTATATTGCGATGATGCTCGGGTGTTGGACGAATCGAGGGGCTGCGGTTGGGACGAGTGGTGGTATCTTAGCCTTGCAGGTCATTAAGCAATTTATTAGAGGGGGCTTCAGGTTTATATGATGCTCTCGAGAAAAGGTTCCTTTCCTGCCAAAAGCTGGCTCTGGTTCGCAAAGAGCGGTTATCCGATCTAACGGCATTTCCGGCATTTCCATTGCATTTGGGTTCAATAATTGGACGACGTGCCGTTTGCGGGAGTTCGAATACCCCACAACTTGGAGCACAATCAAGCATTTATCACCATGTTCTCTATCATCTAGACTCAGACCCCCGATTCATGGCGAAGGTACGCAGCCAATGGAGAGCTATACAAGTTTCTTTCCCTGCCTGAAAGCACCCGATGGCGCCCAATTGCGTTTCGGGTTTCTGATCAGCAAAATAGAAGCAATCTTTGTATATGCCCTGCAAACCAGGTTCCAAGGAATCGGGCTGCTCCTTTGAAACCCAACCGACTCTGTCTGATTATTCTTAGGTCAAGCTCTTTTGAAAATTCTATCGAGAGAGCCAAAGTATTTTGGTCTATCGAACATTTCCAGCAGCATGATTCTACTTTGAGACCACACTTCTTTTTATCAACCGACATTCGACATGTACACGGAGTAATAAAAGTCCGAGACAGATATCGTCACTTTCGTACATCGACATGGCCCCTCCATCCATCACATGAGACCTGACGTAGCGTTCATGGGTATCCTCCTGGAACCAAGCCCATTCGTCATAAACCAATTTCCAGGGACCTAATTGCAGCCTCCCGTCCCCCACCAATTTGAATTTTGCAACTTCAAAGAGTTTTCAGAATGTCTGGAATGAATTAACTTCGAATCCAAGTATATGGAGTTCCAAATACGATTCATCAGTCGTCCAAGTATACTATATCCAAAATGGGGTTTCAAGCCTTTTGGAATTAGTTTGGCTTCCAGTTGCGGGTGAACGAGCCGAGTTCGATTACAACGAAATGGGCCGATCGATGATGAGGTATTGACTGAGCCTTGCGACGAGGCTGACGACTCGCTTGTATGCCCCTTACTCGCGGACAAAAGTAAGTATAAGTATATCTTTTAATTTTCTCGTATTCTACGTCAGGCTCTTGTAATTGACCTATCTTTTAAAGTGATCACTTTGATTGTCCTTGGAACATTCATCTGTCCCTGGAGAAACTAGGAAGTGTCCGGGAGTATTACTTACTATGAATTTTGCTTGTCGATTGCGTGACTCTTTGCTCAACTTTCTGTTATACTTCTTCCCTCGCATGATTCACTGTCTCTATTTTCTGGTTTCTCGGTACTCTTTTCGTACTTGCTCTTAATCGAAGGTCGAATTGGTTTTATCACTCTAACTCCTCATGATTAATTCCTCATCACCAACTCCCACGCGATCCAAACACAACTCTGAAATCCCACTAACCAAATCCCTGCCACACGAACCAAACGCTGACGAAGTTTCCTAAACATATACTCTATAAGTATCCTAGCCATAGACTCGGAACTCGAGCGAGCAGTAGTCTACGCCGCATTCTTCAGGAATGTTACCCCTTTACATATTACTAGTTCTAAATAGCTATAGGGAACGAAGCTATAACAACCTTACTCCTTCCAAAGAAAAGAAATATCACTTATAAGGGAAAAATAAGTATATCCTATTCTCTATCTGAATTTCCTAGACGTTTAGATAAAATTACTATCGATTTTCCTTTTGCTGTGGATTTACTCGTCCTTATCTAATATTAATTATTCTTACAACTATAATAAGAGCCTTGGGTCTTAAAAATAATATTACACTAAGTTAATAATTGATAGTTAACTTTTACTTACAAGTATATAAATATTATAGGTAGATACTAAGTAAGATTACTATATATAATACCCTATTAGAGATAAAACTAGTTGTTCGATACCTCTCCTTATAATATCTCTATTATAATAGCCATATACCGTTCTATAAGCACTGAAATCAAGGTAGAAGCTCTGTGTATAGATTTGCCAAGAGAACAATGGTATTATCTAGGTCATATTATCCTTTATCGCTAATTTCTATAGAAGGACCTCGAAGCCAAGTTCGATATCCACTACAGGAGGTGTCGCTCATGGTATTCTGATACGTGATCTTATAAACATACACCTTTTAGACTTAGACCAAATCCTGAAATATACGTGGAAGCTCGTAATTTTATTTATGATTAGCTAAAAGTGAAGTAATCATTATCTCATCTGAATAAATTTAAGTCATCGATAATTTTCTTCCTTTGGAATTTTGTTTTGCTGTCGATTCACAGGCTCATTTGCGATACGAACCTCGATAGCTGTATTGATTTGTCGGAGCATGTATCTCGAAGTGGTGGAAGATATTGTTTTATATGAATTTGTGTTGGATGAGGGAGTGAGGTGGGATAAGTGAAGATTTGCAGGTCATGTCTGTGCGTGGAAATTTGAGATTGAAGTCTGGAAGGGGATGATGGGGATCCTTATTTCTAGTATTGGTCTATGTTGCTTCGCCAGTGACGATTGAGTTTATAGGTCTCCAGAATCGCTCTCACACGGTCTGCTCCAAGCTGTTAATTCTCCCAAGGCTTACTTTCACTCAAAAGCTAAACTACAAGATCCACCCGATGTGCAATCATGATTCTTAATTAATGTTTTCCGCTAGGTCGTCTCCAGCTTTCGAATACTTTAGCAGGCTTGGATACAATAGACTTCGAGGGTAATCGATTGTTTAGGGTGTGAATATTTTCCAATGCTCCTTTGCGGCTTTCTCCATCCCTTAATGAGGGTGGCTTAGGGTCAGGAAAGCGCCAGACCATATTCCACACATAATTGCCAATTATATAGCAGCCAATCTCTTCTCGAGATATATCAGGTCAATTCCTTGAGGACAACAAACACGAATAGTACCTATGACCAGTATCTCAAGCTCTGTTCTAGTATAGCGAGCCCATCTGAATCATTGCTCCTATGACGCTTGTAGTTTAGCGGAAAGCAGTATTGTCACTGCTCATGGCCTAGTCAACTACACCACCCTAAGTAAAGGAACCAGATTTTCCAGCAATATGCCTGAACAATAGTAACAACGAGGAGCCAAAATGTCATCCTTGCAAAGCTTTTGGACGTCCTTTTGCCATCGCTTCACCAAGGTCTGGTATTTAACCCTCCCCCCGGCTCGCCACCACCACCAAAAATAGTAGGAAAAAGAAACCCACAAAAACAAATCCCCAAAAAAAAAATCCCCCAAAAAAATATTCCCCCAGATCGATCCAATGGCGAGAGTGGTCAGTTGAAGACGAACGAACAAGCGCCGCCCGACCCGCAGTGACTCATCCCCCTATTTCCCAGGATAAGTCTGTAAAGTGCAAACGACGTTTGCGACTCATCAAGTTTTGCTCGAAAGCGACAGAAAATGTGTTGTTGTATAATATGAAGTTGTGGGTCGCGTAGTGTGTGCCGAGTTTCTGCCTGCTAGCGTAGCCCACCTGATGTTTATTGGTGTGGAGTACAAGTGGTCTACTGGAGGTGAATTGATGTTGATGCGCAGCTGTGCAGCTCCTTCTTTGCCTGAATGAACTCGAGTTGTCGAGACTTTTTTTACCCTCGAATTATTCTTTGCTGTCGATTTTTTCTTTCTCTTTTTTACAGTGGCTTTTCTGTCCTTCGTCTATTTTTTTGACATGTGTCGTTCGCCAGAACCTAAAAGTCGGGACTGTCTCTTGAACCCTCATCCTTGGAGATATCATTGTGGAAGCCAAGAGAGTGAAAGTGGTCTTCTTGGTAGGACATGATTTTGAGCATGAGTTTCAGATCTTTCAAGTACGGAGTGTAAGGAGTGAACTCTCGGTTAGAACCGTGGGTGGATGGCGAGGCATCAGCCTCACGCGTCCGGAATACTCATAGTATTCCACAGGAGGACCCGGAAGACCTCAACCGCATTCGTGCTTTGATTCTTGCGCAGAGTGGAACTTTTGTTATTTTGTCGACGATGGACCTTGATAAATTCATACCCGAAGGTAGAAGTAAACTGGACTTGGGTGGCTAAGCAGGATAATGCTACACGTCACACCTTGAAGTTGAAGTGCAAGAGTGTAAATTCAATTCAATTCTTGAGGTGAATAGTGGCAAGACGTGCAAATTCAGCATGCTTTTCTCGCTAAGCGAGTCGAGGAAGGGGGTGGACGTAGTGAAATGACTCGGCCTTACGTTCATTGCCTTGCTACATATCGTTTCACATCCTGACGATTCAAGGCAACCAGTAAGTCCAATGGCTACTGGCTATGAGCCTTTTCAAGCACTGACTGAATAGTCTCAAATATTTTGGCGAGATTCCAAAACCGACACCACACAAACGCCGCCCACTCGATGGGTCATGCAATAAGAGCTTATCTCCTCCGTGGTCCTTGTCCCGCGAGGAACGTTTTTGGGGCTGACGTAAAAACTCTCTAACTCTCTATATATAAAAAGAAAAAAAAGAGACACGTTTGAGTCAGGGGCTCGCTAAAACACGAAAATATCTCGCTAAGGGACAAGGACCACGGAGGAGATAAGCAGCTACATGTCTTCTCTTAGTCAGTCCCCTGATCTACCCAAATTTCAGATAGAGTCTATCAAAAATTCAATCTTCTTGATTTGATGACTACCGAAATACCTCCCTCCTCTCATTCGCTGAGGTTGCCGATGAATAGGCTTCACAAAAAGGTCACTCTATTGATTCTTATGATTAACATTAGTTTTGACTCTAGCTATATTTGTCATCTTTACATGTACAAGTACAGCCTAAATGAACCAAAATGGCTAGTTGGCTAAGAGCTCGTTACTTGTGGAGGGAGAGAGCTCGTTGATTGTGGAGGGGGTTCTGGAGGGAGATTGCAACCAAATGTACAAATTTCGATGTATCCCTAATTCATACCAGTCAGCTTAGTAAGGTGTGATGCAGCTTGGAAATGCACTTACAAGATCCTTGCCTGGCTGATCCGGGCATTCATCAACAAAAATCGATCTTCGGAGAGTGCGAAGAGCAGTTCCAGGCCCGTTATCCCACATGATTGGAGCAACAGGTGCAGTTACACGAGCGAAGTCAATCATATCACCCAAGTTATCGGAGATCCAGCTGTCCCTTCCTTGTCTTAGTTCATATCTAATAATTATTCCCTGATAGAAAGTGCCATCTCTGAACGCAGCTTGAAAATCGGACCGGCTATCCGCTGGTGATATGAGAATAACTGTACAGGAAAAAACATGAATTAGTTGATAGCTCTAAGCTTGGTACAGAAGACCGGGGGTAAAGTTACCTCGGAGATTGTATCCAGCATTCATGATAGCGGCGGCATCGTCTCTGAGACCTTTGTCTATAGCTGAGGCATCGAGACCGGGAATACCTTCCGCTAGCTTGTGAGAAGGGGGCAACCCTCTAGATCACAGATCAGTTTTCAGAGACTCGTACGATAGACTTGAGTAAATACGTACAATAGGACAATGTTCACTTTTCCGCATTCGGTATCTCCCGGATACCTTGGGCCACATCTTGTCTCAAAAAATTGTGCACTTACACAAGCAGCGGAGCCAAGAAGGAGAAGAAGCATAAAGAAAACCATGGTGAGGGGAATAAGAATGCTCAGTCTCGGGGTTGAATTGATCTGAGAGCGTGTATCTCGAGACGCCAATATTTTGTGGAAGGTGAAAGCTTGCTGAGCCGTAACCGTAAGAATATCCGGTACTTTTACACAGGAATATTGTTGACTCTTTAAATCGAATGAAGGGCGGGTGGTCGAAAGGTGATAGTGTACTAGTTTGAGAGAGTCACTCTCTGTAGTGAGCACCAGGATGGCGATACAGTAAGGACTATTTATCGTTGGTGTTTTCCTGTCCTTGCTGCGCGCCATGCTGTGCTTGATATGGTTTTTTTTAGCTATTTATTTTGATTGTTTTCGTATGTGAAGGCTTGGCTCCGAAAGGAAGTCGAGGGATAGGATGGAGTACAAGCATAATGCTTCCAGTAGAGGCGTAACCATTACTGATTGCTATTGGTCGTTTAGCCAAGCGGTGGCCTAGAATAATTTGGCCAATTCCGTATAATTGATCTACCGTGCTGTGTAGTGCATAACTCCATACGGCGTTTAATTTCACTTGATTCGTAATTTCTACACTATAACCATTGATGGGCTTCAAAGTAAAGACGCATAATTGTTCACAGCCTTAGTAAAAGGTTAATACAATAAATAATTGGTCTCGTGTCTGATGAACGCCTAGCTTCAACGTTGAGTCTTACTCATCTAATCACCAGAGCACAGTTTCCGACGATACACTAACATTACAATCATATCGGGGTTTCGTACTACCACATAATATGCTTTGACTTTCTCACTTGGGCGCAAGGGCCATGCAAACCACTCGAGTGACGTATAGTTCACATGTGGTCAAGGTAACATCGCCAGGGAATGCTAGCACTACATCTCCCAAAAGAAAGATCGAGTAGGTATTCTTTAAGGGTAAATTATTTCGGGCCGATTGTGACACCACATCACCAGATCAATCCACATCCAGCTTTCAGTATGCGTAAATAAATAATGATAAACTATTATGAATTGGTATTCAGATGCTTTGCCCCCATATCTTTTGCAGTCATGTAGCCTCTTAGTATACCAAATGTATAGCTCTTGTGGCCTTTTGGGAAGTCCTTTTAGGTGCAGGCCTTTATATCATAATTAGCCTTTTCAGATCAAATTACTTATAGAGACTGAATAGGTACTCTGAAGACGTTGTGTCTTGGATAGCCTCCGAATGCTTAAAACGGTATCTCGGTTACTGTATTTTGGGGGCAGCGCCCTTGATTTCGCGATGCTAACAATGACTTACTAGTGCCAAGACTACAGTATGAGAAAGGCTACAGCCATTTTATTCCAATAAGATTTCAAGAATTAAGAAGACATTTTTGCTTGCTGGTTCAGACTTCGTATGGCGCGAGAAAGTTAGCATTTAAAAGCACAAAGTGTAGTCGAAGACATTACTGTCAGTATTTGTCGCATCGCTAGAGAAGTTCCGATAAAGTTCCGTCACTAGTAGCTATAACCCTGGTGATCTTGTAGTATTCCACGACGCAATAATGAGGTAATCCCAAGCCCATTTCATATTTACCTCCAAAACATAGCTTTACAAACTAGTGTCCGGGGACCATCTAACTAAATGTGTCTGGAAGCTGGAATTCCAGGCAAGAGGACACCAACCAAAAGCCTTCGCTCTCCAGTCTCCCGTAATCTGTTTATGATGTCCAAAGGTGTTCGAACCTTTATCTTCAAATTTGCCTATTTGTCTTCCTCTCACTAGAAAGTTTCCTTCGAGATATTGATGCGCCGTTTCTATAGACCCTTCGTATGAGAGCCTCTCCGAACCCCTCAATCCAGAACGCGTTTTCAAATTAACAGAAAACCCACAAAGTGTATCTGAATGCCTTATTATCAAACTCCGTAGCATCGTGCATTCCCAATTCAATCGCATCCTTCTCATTCAACGGAGCCAAAGCTTGTTCCCTATCACGTTTTCGATTAAACCAAACCATGTAAGCGTACAACACAAAGACCATAGCAAGCTTAATGCTATAACCAATCAACATTGCTCTGTATGCGGTTTTGTATTCGGCTGAGACCGGTCAGCGTGAGCATGGTTGAAATCTGAGAGGCTGGGTACATACGTTGCTCCCCCGCAATGAATGTTTGAGGACCAGCAATGTTTCCTATACACCATCCAATGAATACCACTGCTGCAGTGAGTTGCTTCTTGGTGTATCCGGCAACGTTGGATGAGATCATTGTGAGACTCATGCTGAATCCCAGGTTTTGAAAATAACATAACCAAAGGGCTACCAATCGTCCCCACTAAAATTGTTAGCACCGCTTGGATGTTTTTCTGGCAGCGATTCAAAAAGAAATCAGGATGGAAATCCATGCCTAACCGTTGTAAAACGTTGCTCACTTTGTTCGAGGCAGGCAAACCAACCAACAAGCCCGAGCCGATGATACAAATAGTATTAGAAACTGTCATCACGATACACCTCATCCCAGGCCATTTTGTAGCGACCCATCCCCCAAACAACATTCCAAAGAATTGCACAGCACCTCCCGGAATCAGCATGTACTGACTCGCCAAGGTACTGTAACCAAAGCTCGTAATATTGATACTCGCAAAGCTAGTGACAGCAGCAGTAGGTATCTGCGAACTGACAACCATGACAAATAAGGTCCAAACTTTCGGGTCTTTCATCGTCTGGACAGCTTGATATGCTTTGAAGGTTCTGTTTTTGATTCCTTGCTTGTTGCTTGCTACCCGCTCCACAGCGACGACTCGTTCGCGGGGAGTGAGGAAAGAAGAGGTAGATGGACTGTCTGGGAGGAAGATGAAAGAGATGACACCCCAAGCGATGGTTATGGCGCCGAAGATGAGAAAGATATATTGCCATTTGTGTAGACCAGTGTTGATATGGCCAATACCGTAGCCAATAAGCCCGCTGAACATGGTTGCGATTCCAGTTGTGCTGTAGTATGCTTCAAGACGGAGGGGCTGTTCTTCGGTGGTAAACCACATACTCATTAGGAGAACGTTTCCAGGATTCGTTGCACTCTCGAGAGCACCGAGGAAGAAGCGATTTGTCGCAATTCCCGCAAAACTCACGCAGGCAGGAGTAGTGATGAGTACTATACCCCAAGCAATAATGGTAAAGGATAGTAGGCGTCCTGTGGGAAGGTGCTGGAGAAGAAAACCGAAAGGGATTTGAAATACGAGATATCCCACGAAGAACATGGAAGCTATGATGGTATTAGGAACTTCAGTTGAGAAAGAATACTACAAGACATACATAGCCAGGAGTAATCCTGCCCTTTCAGGTGTGTATCCTTCTTCAGACCGTACACGCTTGCTATGTTGATACTGTTCTTGTCGAGATATTGTAAGACATAGGTTCCCATGATAATTGAGAGAATCCTGAAGCCAATCTTTCGTAAAACTTTCTTAGCCTCAAGAGGGTCAACGTCGGTTCCGCGATTGCTTTTGTACAGTTCATAATTGTCATCAAGCGCTCCGGCAGAAGTCTTGGATGTAGCATTGGTTGCACCGGGGAATATTTCCGACTCAGTCGGCGTATAAGCTTTTTCTGACTCCATGTTGAGCGTTGAGTTTGGATACCGATAAGCGAAGTTTTCATTCAAAGAGACTGATGAGTTAAACAGAAGCTTGAAACAAGATGTTGAGATAAATGCTTGCCAAGCGCACATTTTATATAATCCAGACTTTCTTTACCCATTGCCTTTCTCAACTCCCGAAGGTCTACATCCCAAGTACCACGTGTGCCCCAGATTGTCCTACCAACCAATTCACTACTTAAAGGCCCATCAAATGATTGCAAAAGAGGGGCGATCGTCGTACAAAAAAGAAACTTAGGCTACGATATACCGGGTGAATATACGACTGAATCATATTCGTCGCTCATTTTCTGGGGTTATAGGCTAAGCCTTGAAATAAAGCTTCTTTCGAAGGGCTGCAGATCTTTCGATGCAGAAAATGCTTGTTCTAGGAAGGATGAGGTGACGCGAGATACACTCGATGCGGTATGTCGCAGATGTGGATATCAAATTTGTCAACTTACTCATTCTCAGACCAATCCTATCTTGTAGACAGACACCACCAGTTCGGTCAGAGTTCGGCTTTTATCTCAACTCATCCTGATAGCGTAGCTTTCATATATCTCATAGCCACCATATGTAGACAGTGACTTCATAATCAATGTTCGTCAAGAAGTACCCATTAAACTGGTCCTCTGCCTGGCCAACCTTCAAAGCAAAGGGAGGGAGGCGAATATCTGAGGGGCCTCCAACGTAAATATTATGCACTAAGCGATCTTTCTCACACCAAGGACACAGGTCCAATACTTTCCAGCTGATCAGGGGTCATCATTTCCCCATGCATACAACCATGCAGGTAAGTTTCTCCAATCAACTCAAAAGCGCCCTCCACAGCAACTGAAGGTCTCAAAACAAAAGGAACCCTCGCATCACAAATAACCCAAACCTCATCACCCTTTTCCAAGGACACAGGACCCATTCCATAATACCCTCTTTTCGTTCGGTACATCTTTTGTGACCCTTGTGTTTTACTCCATCTCACATCAAACTCGGAGAACTGTCCATCCGCAAAATCACCAACTCCCGTGGCACCTTCCATCCCTTGAAACATAGTTTGCATAGTTTTGTTGCCTTTCGCTGAGCCAGAGGCAGCAGCAACTTCCGCTCGTGTCGGCAAATGCCCGATTTCTGGGGGGCAAAGAAATGTTAACTGTGAGATGGCTCCAAGACAGGAATCTACCATTGGTTCGGTCTCTTCGCTGAAACTGCCTGCAATGAGCATACACAAAACCCACATCCGAAACTGGAACACTCCTTTCGCGTACGGAAATCTCTCAATTGCGTTGAGGGAATGTTTGTGCTTTGGTGTTGGAGGAAAAGATTTACTCGGTCTCATTTCACTACTAAAATCTTCCTGAGCTAATGGTTCCGGACTGGCAACTATGGTTGAGGAATTCCCGAGAGATGTCGACTTGGATCGTATGGGTTGGGTTTCTGAAGGCGAGATTGACGAGACATCAGAGGTTCCCCTTCTGTGTGGGCTTGCTTTCCATTCTGGAGATAGCGATAACGAAGTTAGATCTATTCCAAGTCCAGTGTCTTCAGTAGTAGGCAGCTGTTTCGGACTCGCTGGAAGAAAGGATGGAAAGTATGAATTCTGTTCTTCATCGTGAGACTCTCCCGTGTCCTTGAGTGATATAGCTGACAACTGACCGGCTACCAAAGTAGCGACCAGCACTTCTAGGCGTGATACTTTATATGGCCAAGGTTTCGTTTCACATGCGAATCTGATGATTTTCTCAAAATGGCCCAGAATATGAACTGACATGATCGAGCCGTCTGGAAGTCGAGAGCCATCCCCTGCCCAGTTTTGAGGGGCGAATACCGAGACAGTGTCATCAATGACATCAAAGCATGAGCCGCGCAGCGCTAACGTTGACTTTACTATTTTCCGGGGGTAAGATTGCACTATTCCAGCCCTTGAAGCGTTCCAATTCGCTGTGGATGTGAAAGATAAGTCTTCGTTTGAGAGGGATGCGAAATCCGGAACCCAGGATGGAAGACTTTTAAGTTGACGAGCATGTCTGTCTTGGACACAACTGAGTATGGTTAAGTGAGGCAAATTCTCGACAAAGTAGTAAGCAATGTCAGTGTAGATTTCCTCGACTGATCTATTGTAATCAGGATATATTGGTGGAGGAATATGTGCCGGTCGTAGCATATCGATGACTGGGAAAGATTAGACTTATATTCCCAAAGAGTGTCATGCATGAAAGAAGGTGCACTTGGATGGGATAGTAAAGGGAACGGGTCTTTCTTACTGCCGAGAATCCCATAGATCTTGTCATGCAGCTTCGTCGCTTCAAAGTACCGAACCCACTGAACGCAACAAAGAAAGACAGTGTTCCATCGATCTTTCGGATTATCATTAGGGATCAGATTATCAATCAGGGCAGTTGTCCATTGGCTGAAACCAGTAGCATCTGCTCGCCGTCCACTCAAGCCAGAACTGTAAACATAAGAAAATTTTGACTTCATCGCAGTACTCCAATTCTTAACAGAACCCCAAGAATTGAGCCTAGGGGATCTAGAAGAAGCGAAGACTTTAGTAATTTGGGGGATGTGTGCTTTCGACTGCTCTCGAAGCGACCTAGCCAGCTTGCGCCCCTTTTTGGGAATTAACTCTGAGATTGTAGACGATGATACGCTTTCTGTAGTTGATGTAGTTGATATAGTTGAATCAGTTGACTCTACGCTCTTCCACGTGGAAGACCTCGATGCCGGTGTAAAGGACTCAGGCATTGCTAATTGGTGGTACAATTGGCGAAATGTATGAAGTCGAAGACACCCAAATCCAATTATCTGCCGACTACCACGTTTTGATTGGGGCAGAGACTTTTGAAGAAGCAAACCTAAGCCATTCAATGATATGATGTTTGCCAGAGTAGACATATCATCCCAATCAAGCCGCGACTTCCCTGCGAGAACCACAACTTTTTGGGCTAGTGTTAGCTCTTGAAGAACCCAAGCGCGAGAAAACCAGCGTCGCTCATCGTAAAACTTCGCATAGCTCTTCCAATACTTCTCTGTGTCCAGTTTGAGTCTTTCTTTGACATTATCCAACGTCCAATTAGCTTTCAGAATCTTTTCAAGACCATTTGCCTGGCCGTATTCCCATAGGATCGGTAGAAATGTTTCGTGGAGAAACTTGAAGTCCTTCAGATCGCTTTCGTCCTTGCCCAGCCATACAATTACTTGCTGACAATAACTGTAAACAGCCCCCATCAAAGTCACTTGCAAACATCTTTCCTCGTTGTCTTCTTGGTTGATACAGATAGCATCCACCCAGAGCCATTCCGGCCGGTTGCTTTTGGACAATTGCGCAAGCCCCTCATACAGATTCTTGAGTACTCCAATTTGCTTGGGATCAGACTCGGTGTCGAGTATTAATATCTTCGAACTATCGGGTCCATAATCATCTTTGGATTTTGAGGTGCTCAATGGCACTCCCCAGGTGTAACTGAACGCAGAAAACGTGGGACGCTCGGGGTCGTCGATATCGAAAATATGGAGCGAACAATCTTCGCCGTGAAGAAAGTCGCGAAATTTAATCAAGCGGAATTCTCTTGGGGATTTCAGAGGCTCATAGGAATAAATGTAGTGGTGTGGTACCCGAGGTATCGCTATGGTTGTGATTAAGTATTATGAGATGTGTCTTCGAAGAAGGAAACACTAGAATAAACGACAAAGAATGACGCTCTTCTAACTCAGGATTATACGTGAACTGTTTCCATAAGGGGTGCTTCGTCTTGTGCTGCGCCTTGAGCGGGGTTGAAACAATTGTACAAAACAGTCCATCAGAAACCTTGCTTACAGTACAGTATCACGGGGGCCGAATCCGTCTGGCATGCGATGTAACCTATAATTAGGGATATCCGGAGAGAACAACGGGCTTTCCCGCCATTTGTGTAACAAGACAACGTTTGGAAGCAACAACCTGAAGAAGCTTAAATAAACCAGAGGCACTATGAAGTTCCCTTTTTGGCCACTCCTCGATGTGCTATTGACACACAGCAGCTAGGAAACAAACAGAGAATTGATAAGAGACGCATCGGGGCCATGCAAAATTGAAATCATTCTCCAGCAAGACGAGCCATGGTGCTTACAGTAGATCCTAGTACAGTACAATAAGTTTGGCTCACCCCATACTCCATCCCACCCATTGAAACTGATTCCTGGGGAAAATCACAGTGTATCACCTTCTTCATGTGCCAGATCTCTATTGACCCGGATATCAATCAATAAAAGGATCTTTAGCAGAGGTGCAGAAGGAAAGCGCTCATGGCGTGTCACAATATGCACTCGGCCACCCCTCTGTTCTGTCGTTGCAACCAACAGAAACACTTTATTCGAAATTATTCTTGGTAGCGAATGCAAAATATTTTGGTAAAGGACATGCAACTTTGAAAGGAAAATAGGCCATGATGTACGGGCTGTCGATCGAAGATATATTTCGTAAAGAGAAGGTAGATGGATGTCTTCCTGGAATATTGGATTAGTTAGAGAACCACGTTCGAGAAAATCCAGGGGTTCTACTTCATTAGGCCACTGATAAACCTAGTTGGTATATGGTGGTAAGTATCAAATTCAAGTTGGTGTTTTGATGAAGGGTGTGATTGTGTCAGAAAGGCGATATTGACAACGGCCTTTCCATTAGATTACTGTATCTGAAACCAAGACGGGGTTCGGATTCTCACAACATCGTACGTTTATAGCGGAACAACGACACTATCGACAATCCATTAGTGTTGGGCATGTAGATCTAAATCAAATACATTAGAAGTAATTAGTAATTTTTAGGCATCTAGATAAGTTTAAATTAGATCCTAATTGTATGCGTCACATGACTATAAACGTGACCTTAGAGCGAGAAATTCCAATTATTCTATATGGCTACACAATTGATACATGTAAAGGAAAGGTCCAACGTTCAGATTTCGAGTTTGTCCGAACGAATTAAGTTTAAGCGAGATCTCACTGTCGAATTTCTGCTCTTTGACGAAATAGTCCACACCTACGCTATTTGTCAAAATGAACATATTCACTGCTCAAATTGGGTTATTGTTCTAGATTGAACAAGCCTAAAAGTATGCTGTATTTTATGAAACGATAATTCCATACGGCATTTCATTTAATTCAACCAAGGACGTCATTCCTCATCTTGTTCACTGTGCCTGAGGAGATTCTGCGCAATTCTGAGTCCTTTTCTCGAGGGGATTATGCTATATCCATCTCCTCAATCCTGCATGGTCGCTCTAGTTGAGAGCATTAGTTTACCAACCATCCTTACAAATCTGGGCTAAGCGAAGTATTTAAGATTTACTTTACGAGTACAAGGGTCTGAGTGCGCAACGCACACTTGGTCTGACGAATCCATAGACAACAAAAACACTGGTTTCCCTAGCATACGCGATGCGCCTTGTCTATCGTCCTCTTTCTTTTGGCTTACACTGATAGGTGCTCTGCTAGCTAGGGATATTGATCTTTCGAGGCTGAGGAAGTTATTTGTCTCCTTTACTCGATTTAGCATTTTGTCAAATCAGAAAATGTCATATTGATTCCTAGGAGTAGTGGAGGTAAAGGGAAAGACTGGGGACGGTTGAATGCCTTCCTCATGGCCGGTTAATCTCATCACACAACTAAGTATCAAGAAGCAGATACGTCCAGTAGAACATGCCACAGCAAGTACAGTGAACGATACACCCAACAAGTATAAAAACCCGAATAATACCTGACTAGTTCTCAAACAGAAAAGCTCATCAATTTAACCTCACGTTTGCGTGGCACTATCAAGTCGGCATGTCGAGGTACTTCTCAAGCATAAGCTGAAGGGAGTGGAAGTAATGGCCATTGAGTGAGAAGAGTATCTCGATACAACACTTTCTATCTTCACTTTCACCTGAATGAAAAAGATATAACTGAGGGTTTACCGTCAAATTCCTTGTCAATGTCGAAATGGATTGTTGCATATCCACACATCGTAATGGGGCGATTCAGCCTACTGGCCCTAATCCTACCTTCCTCCTATGGGTAGGCTGAGAAGACGGAGGTAATTGTTCATGTCTGCCTCGTTATCTGTGGTCTTGTCAACCCAAGCCAGCCTGCTCAGATGGTTCAGCCATCGTGAACATCAATAAAGCTCTTTAGAAGATATCATCACATAAATTAAAAACTTCCATCATGTCAAAGGCGATATCTACAAACTATCGATAAGTTACTTATAGGTAAACAAGTTAGTTGGCAAGTGATCGTGTCGCTATATAATAGTAGATGATTATTCGCTAGAGCTAGCTTGCTTAGTTCCTTCGAGAATAACGTGTTATGGCATCTTCAAGTATACAAGGACTTTGCTACTTATACTTGTTTTCACATAAGACATCGGAATTAGTTGTTACACATAATATAAGTCCTTTGCACCACGTAGTCTCCTAATGCTTACGCTCGCTTGACTGAAATCAGGCAAACCGGTGTAAAGGGTTCTCAGCTGTGCGATCATACCTACTCAATGGTGAATAACTCTTTAAAATATTTATTTGATGGGTAAGACCAGCAGTACAGTACTGAAAGAAAAAATGGGTATCTAGAATCCCACACCCTAAATCTCACTCTCACTCTCGAAATCTCCTCACGACTCCTTCCCCAAAAAGACGGGGAGGATACTAACAGTAGCCTCAGCAAAAAGGTGCTGAGTGCAAGCCATATAGATAAGGCCATCGAGGTACCAATGCAATAGCGTTCATCACTGCACGCGAATTCCTGGTGGTCGATGCTTGTTTTTAAATAGGTATTCTCGCGATGTCTTGGTGCAGAATGTACTGTACTTACACAATCACCGACAGCGAGAAGGCTTTCAGATGGAAGCATAATAGAAGATCTCAAGTCTTCGGGTCATACTTGGTAGGCTTCAGTGGGGGAGAGAAAATGGTAGATAGATACTACACGTCCAAATGAACTACTACTTACACACCCCTCATCAATCAATCGATCAGTGAACCCCATCAACGCTCTGCCACACAAAATACCCCCCCTTCCCCTACCTCCCTTCACCCCTTCTATACCCCCGCCCCTCCTCTCACATCCCTAAAAACAAAACTAAAACCTATCCCACGGCCCACCTATTCCCACCCACACGCACCTTGAAATATCAAGATAACCACCCCCTCACCCAAATCCACCAATTACACACCAGTTGGTGGTACCCTAGGTAACTGCAATGGCCTAGCGGTGCGATCCAAAAACAAAACCCCAAAGGTTACCTGTACTAGCCTTGTAAAATACATGGTACTTGTACGCCAATTTATAAATGTAAAAGAAAAACTCAGTTCGTCTGGTTTTAGGTTAGGTCCTGTTGGATTTTTTTTTTGTGGTTTTTTATTCTTTTTATGGATTTTTTTGGATTTTGTGGGCTTTTGGGAAGGGGAGAGGGGAAAGGGGGGAGGATGGGGTGGTGGGTTGTTACAAGGGTAGGTGTCGTGGAGTGAATTTTTGCTCGCTTAGTGAAGAGTATAGGGGTAGTGGGGGTGGGCACCAGGTAGACAAAATAACCTGCAGTTTGGGAGCCGAGAGTAAAGACACTATAATATAACTCACATGTATGCATCGAAGCGTACACTATCCTTAATCCCTAACACATATATCTCACCCTCTCCCACCTCAGTTCACGATATCCTCATTCGCTCCAAATTAAGTACATACATAACACTGAAACGGGGGTTTTTAAAGGAAACAGTATTCATCAAGAGAGCAAGGCAGAATACAGTACATCATTTCCTAATCGAAGAAGCCCAACCTAGCATTTCATAACGAAGCAGCTCATCTCCCACAGTCACAGACCATGCGGTGGTGCCATGAAGCTACCAAAAGATAAGCAGATAACGCCACCTTCTACCTACAACCCAAAAGAAGAAAAGGACATACACATCAAGAAGAAGGATCGCTGGAAAAGTAATGTCACAAGCTCGTCCCCTCACGAAGCTCAAATCAACCCGGCTCTTGCAGCTTCTCCGCCTCCATCACCAAGTACCTCTTCCATTCTGGCCTTTCCTTTTCCGATGCCGCCCTCGCCAACGCCCATTCTTTTGGCTACATATCTCTGTGCCACGACTCCGACACCTAGGCTCAGTACTTCCTCTACCCATTCGGCTACCCATTCTCTGGGATCAACACCACCGCTCTCAATAATCTCTGCGATTTCTTCTGGGAGACTGGACGGTGCGTACTGATCGCCCTCTCTTCCAAAGAACCCGCCTTTCTGCGTAGGCGAGGTGGAGGAGGCTGGGGTGAGTGTTGGAGGAGCATCAAGCCACTTGATCCATTTTGCGGGTATAGGTTGGGTAATGGTGTGGAATGTAATGCTGTGTACGGGGTCGTGTAGATAGACTGCGAAAGAAATCTGCTCGTCGGGGACGATTGTTTCCTCCACAGCACTTGACTCCTCCTTTTCTTTTGATGCTGTGTTGCCTTGGAATAGATCCTCTGGTGCTTCATGTGAGATTGCTTGAACGGCCATGAAAATGTCGCTGCTTCGAACAGGATTTGATTCGCTAAGAATTTCGGTTGCTCGCTGCTTTGCCAACTCCAATCCGCCGTTCGCATGGAAATACTCGGTGGAATAAGCTTCTGCGCTTACGCGAACCAATTTGGTTCCTTCTACGAAACCTTTGACTGATCCAAGATCACGCTGTTCATTATGTTGTCTCCACCAAGGTCCATCATTCCATCCGGCACTTCCACCGGAATATCCGCCTTCTGAACCACGACGAGCGGTAGATTCTTGGCCACGCTGGATAACTAGAAGATCACCGCCCTCAACTTGAGCCATCACCCGTGCAAAGGTGGAATATATAAGAGGGTCAAGGGAGGGGTAGCCAATGAAATCATGGGTAATGTGGATTTGGAGTCGTTCATGGGAAGAGATTGGAGGTGCGAGTGTATGCAAGATATTGGTAAAGGTTGGGAGTGCTCGCTGCCGTAATTCCCCACCTAGACAAACGGGTTAGGAGGATGATAGGAAAGCGAAGAGGGCATCAACACATACCAAGTCCAGCAATGGCACCAACATTTCCTTTGACTTGCTCCGCCCAGCGTTTTGCTTCCTCATTTTGCTGTATCTCTTTCACAGCCGCCTCGGCAGTCTTGACAGCAGCCGATGCAGTTGCAAACACACTTCCCCACCATCCCCCGCCCGCAGCAGGAGCTGCCTCTTGTTTCTCTGCTGGCTGCGCAGCTGGAGCCTTCTTTTCGGCTTCTTGAAGCTCACTGCTTGTGGCCGAGGGGGTGAAGCTGGTGTGAAAGGATCGAGTGCTCTCACCAGATTTTCTGGGGAGTTGCTTGTCTTCACTCGATCGAGTTGATCCCGGGGGAGGTGTTGCACGCTTTACCTGTGAAATTCGGGGAGTGTGTGGTCTACTAGCTGGCTGGGCCCCCAGGTTCTCGAGTTCATCCAGCAAATCTTGCTCGGCTTGCGAGGAGACTGGTTTGGCTGCTTTGCCCGTGGAAGCTCCCGATCCCTTCGTACCAGCTTGAGCTTTGGCGTCATCCTCGCCCAACCCTTCTAGCAGGGCATTGAGGTCGTCGTCGGTGGGAGCAGCCTTGGTCTTTTTGGTGGCCATAATGGTAAGGGAGGAACAATGCCAGTGGGACAATTGTATGCGATGTGGTGCAACAAGAATGCTTAGACTATGGAAGTGGCAGAGGATACGATAGGCACAATAGCAGAGACTCAAGTGCGGGACTCAATACCAGGTGCCAGTCTCCAGTATTGTCGCGAGGCTCATTATGCGACGGCTCGGCCTCAGGCTAAGTGCGGCGGGCGGACGGTGATTGGCTGGTGGGTCGAATCCTCAAAGCCATCCCCCCCGACCTAAATAGAACAGATCCTAGGTAGGCTCACGGCTCGCTGCTCACAACCTGCTATTCACATACAAGCAAAACTCAAATATCAACGCAGATAAAGCGCAACGTCGCACTTCTTTCGTCAATTCTCGCATCTCTCAAAATTCCCTTCTTCTGCTTCAGACAGCGATCATACTTTTCACTTCCTTCATAACGCTTCTCAAATTTTCCCGCGCTCCTTGCGCTTACTACCAAGCCCTTTTCAACTTTCCCTTCCACCACCTAGACCGGCCTCAAAACTGATCTAGAAGAGATTGGGCAACACCAACAAACTTGTCACAAATCTCCTCGATCCTCTCTGGACTTCGTCAAAACTGTTTCACATGCTCCTGTAATTATGGCGCGAATTAAATCGAAAGTCACCATCGCCCAGGAGGGTAATCTCCCAGGTGCTGGACCAGCACAAGCCCAAGCAGCTGCAAACTCCTCGATGGAAATGGCTTCTGCTTCTGGCTCAGCGTCGCCCTCTTCAACAACTTCTACCTGTCCTCATTGCTCCTCTTCATTTCCTGAAATGGCTTCAAAGGTTCGTCCTCTTTCCAGTCGACCCTAACAATTGATCTAGTGGTCGCCGATATTGACTTAGTATCCAAGGATTTCCGTGATCACGTGTCAGCCTGCACCGGGCCAAGTACTGCTGCAGAAGAAATCAGTTCCGACAGTTCATTGACTCCACCACCTGATTCTCCATCAGTTCATGCCGCCAAAAAGGCAAAAGCAGTGGATGAGTCTGATGCTGCTCAAGTCAATTCGGGTGCAGTGAATGGATCCCTGGCCAATGTAGTCAATGCGTCAGATCATGACTTGGAAATTGATCAAGATGACAGCCAGCCCTCACCTTACATCAAAGACGCTGTTGAATACTACGATAAAATTGATGAGCGGGAAGGCTCCGTCGTCACTCGTAGAAATTCTGAAGAGCCCGAAGAACCAAAGACACCAACTCCGACGAATCGCGAGGGTTCGGCAGATGAAAAGCCCGACCCAAAGACTCGTCACGCTTTTCAGAAGTTTACTCCTTTTGAGGATTTCGGCGATTATCTCATGAATGCTGAAGAGATGTCTTATGAGGAGCTGTACGACCGCACAAGCCACGTTAATTCGGCTTTGGTTACTTATCAAAAGGAGTGGGACGACATTGAGAAAGAGATTTATATTCATGAGTCCTACGTCAAAGCACAAGCCAAAAAGACAGCAGAGATTTCGAAAGCAGTTGAAGAGGGGAAGGCCAAAATCGAAGATCAGATCTATCTGGATTATGCACAACGCTATCGAGCTGAGCTCAAGCTTAGTCGTGTCGACTGGGAACAATACCTGGATGGATTCGGAGATGATCCTAAGAGTGTCGAAACAGTTGAGCGCCTTCGAAGTCTTCGTCTCCCAAATTTTCTGAGCAGTATACATAAGAGACAAAAAGCTCGAGAACAGGAGCCCAGCAAACTTGTTGACAGACCTATGATGGCAGAGAGAATCACAAAAGAGGAATTGGCTTTGGATAAGCGAAAGAGAGGAAGGTTGATTGATCAAATTACCTTTGAGGACATGAAGCATGCCGATGTTTATGGTTTCAACTATTCGTCGCAGCCGCATCATGTCGGCAATCAACCTCAGCCAACGTACAACGGGAAATCAAAAACCAAAGGAGATGCTTCAGATGAAGGTCGATCACGAAGTCAACGAAGCAAAGCACAAAAGAGTTACGATCCGGATAAGAGTGTGTCCCCTGAGACAGAGAACGAGGAGCTTCCTGCAAAACGAACCCGCAAGCCCAGGATGAACCTTGACATGGGCGCGGAAACTCAGCAGCGTGGACGCAATGCACACAGCCGAGGCGCTACCCCACCTGTGAGAACTTTCCCATCTGGCAAGCGTGTTGGACGACCACCGACCAAGTCGAAGCTTAAAGACTTTGAAGTTCCACCTGAGTCTACTGACGCAGCACTGGAGAATGGTACGGGCCCAAGAAAGCTAGCTCCCAAACAGGAAGAGCAGCTCCATGATGCGGCACTTTCTCTTGCTAGCAAGCAACGCGAGTTGGTAGTCAATCACACTCAGGTATATTTCACGGGAAACATTGGGGAGGCTGTCTACGGAGGAAATGGACAGACATCACGACCATCATCTTCTTCTTCGGCTGAGGGAGGCAAGAAACGAAAGCGAGAATCGACTGATACTGGAAACAATCCTCGTGTACATGACTATGGCCAGATGACCCCTATTCTGCCATCTACATCTGTCCCTCAATCGGGTACAGCCACTCCTGCGCCTGGTCCAGCCCCAAAGAGTCGAAAGCGCAAGGCCAAGGATACAGAAATCGACGTGTCTTTACTCAACCCAGTGGAACTCGAGGCATATGAAAAGAAAAAGGCAAAATCTGCTAAACTATCTTCAAGTTTGAAAAGCCGATGGGAGAGAGGTGAGATGGCCGGAGCAATGGAGACGAGAAAGGCAACGAACGCTGCAAAGAAGGCGGCCAAGGCGGCGATGACAACGGGCATGGTATCACCACCGGAACCGCCTGCGATTGTCCCTCCAACTTCTTTCAACCACACAGCTACTGCCAAATTTATTCAGCCTCCGCAGACAATCGCTCCTGCTGCTTCACAACCCCAACAACCGGCTGCACCCGCACTACCCGCACCGAAGCGCAAGCAATCAGTTCAAAAGTCGAAATCATCCCCGCTCTCCTCTCCAAAAGGTATTACCAAGGCCAAGAAGAAGGCCGTGTTACCACCAGCCATCAACGCCCGAAACGTCGGCGGTAGGGCGAGAAAACCAAACCGATTAAGAATGAGCATGGACGGAACAGATGAAGTGGAGGGAGGGGAGATGAGACAGCAGTATAAGAGCGAGTATGATCAGTACCAGGCGCTTGCTTCCCCACATTCACAGGTTGTATTGGGAAAGCGTGTTAGAAAACCAAGGCTCGATGTTCGTGGGGCTGAGGCCTCTGGTGACGATTTGGAGGACGAGGAATACGATGAATGAGCGAGCGGCTTTAAAAGGGCTTTTTTCATGAATGTACATAGGTATAGGATATTCCACGTGCTTTGGGCACGAATTCATAGGGGTCCATGGGAAAAAACTTGAAATATTAATAGATGCTTCAAAACGTTATTTTTACTTTTTTTCAGATAAATTTCAAGTGATTTATGTAGGTGAATTCTTTTGAAACAAGTACTATGGTTACCTGGAGATATTCCGAGTAAATATATCTTCGATTCTTTTTGTTTAGGCTATTAAAGAAAGGCTAGTAGAGACTAGCGAGTAGATATACTAGATACCACAATTTACAGGGACTACTTATATATCACACTTTTTAAGTATACTTCTAAATTTAACTTTTCTATTATATTGTTTTGTTTTAGTTTTTGTAAGAAATGAGAAAATAGGGACCTAAGAATTATAGAAATGTAAATAGAAAACAGACAAGGAATTAATACATTTATAGGTAGAGCATTTAGAGAACTAGACGATATAGAATATAAATTATACCCTATAATCTTATACATTCCTTCAAGCTAAACGTATAGCCTTGTATCTTTTTACATTGTCTACTTGAGACGGGAAGTTCATGTCCCTTTTTACTGCTTGTTCGCTACTTGATAGCTTGTTGAAAAGTTTGCTACGGTTCTTGTGGACTCTGTTTCTGTTGTGGATTTCTCCAAAGTACTAGGTCTCGACCGGGGTTTACTGGAGTGCTTGGATTTTAGCTTTGGTTATTCTAGATTGGAAAGGGATTGAAGAGGATGGGGTTTATACGTAGAACCCTTTGCAAAAGGAAATTCGGTTTGGATTATGATGAAATGATCTATGGAGAATATGAAGCGTTTTTTGAGAGGATGAGAGTGGATTATTCGAGATGTATGTCAACTATTCGAGCCAACATAGAAGGAACGAGGAAGTAGTTTCTCGTGGACAAATAGAGATGGAGTTCGACCCCCCCACCTTGGGTTAGACGTTGGTGCGGACTGAATTACATTTACATGTACCCCACCTTGGAACCATGGCTCATGGCGATAAGACGGCACTTCCAATCTACATGTCCCCCGCCCCTCTTTCCGACCGGTATCAGAAGGTGGGGGGAAGAATAACATCGGATTCTGGTTTGGCATCCATATCTGTGGTGCAGATGCCAAGTTCAAGTACATATTCATCTGTTTCTCTCGATATCTCAGGGAACCGCAACATATTTCTCCAAACAAAACACGGAACAAGACAGCAACAGTTATGGCGCCGATAACCTTTGGGCCCGCACATAGGCAGTGGAAGTACCAGCCAGAGAGTAAGACGTATGATGTCTCAGGTTCGGAGACCGGTGAGAAATTGAAGATTGAGACGAGTGCGGGTGTGCAGGGGACGAGTGTGGTTCTTGATCCGGGAAAGACTGCGTTCGTTATTGTGGATATGCAGAATTACTTTTTGGATGGGAGGTGTATGGATCATCCTAATGGGATCGCGGCGATTGAACCGACGATTAAGGTGTTGGATGGGTGTAGAAAGACGGGTGTACAGGTATGTAACCTCTCTCTTAAATCCTTTATTCATCAATTCTCTTGTCTGCATGAATCAGAGTTGAGAAGTGGCAGGAGTGAGATACTTAGGAGGCAAGTCACTGATGCACACCTGTCAGGTAGTCTGGCTCAACTGGGGCCTCACCGACCTAGATCTCGAATCCATGCCTGCAGGTATCCAACGCGGCTTCATGAAAGATACACTGCTGGCCTCCACCTCCCAGATCCGTCCTTGGGTCGGTCTCGGTTCCGAGCTGCCAGATGACCAAGGACGAGTCCTTTTCAAGGGATCTTGGAATGCGGATATCTATCCCAGACTCAAGGTTCATATCCAAGAAGAGGATGTGCATTGTGCTAAGAATCGCATGAGTGGGTTGTGGAGAGAGTAACAGGAGCTGTTCAGCTATTTGAAGGACGCGGGAAAGGAGACGATTTTGTTTGCGGGGGTTAATACGGATCAGTGTGTGCTGGGGGCTTTGACGGATGCGTATAATAATGGATGGAATTGTGTGTTGATTAATGATTGTTGTGGAACTACCACGAAGGGGGCGAGGGAAGTGGTGGTTGGGAATGTTGGAGTGAGTACTGTACCGAATTGTGTGCTTTGGAGGGGATTGATTACTGACCGGTGTCTTGATATAGGATCATTACGGGTTTGTTATCGATAGCAAGGGCTTCGCGGCTGCGGGTTCTGGAAAAGCGGGATGATGATAATGATGTGATGTGATGGGTGGGAAATTGTACGAGTACTGGTATTCTTGATTGTCGTGTCGCAGTGAGTAATCTGGTTGCTTTTGTGGGGATGGTGTTGTGCATTGCCGATGGTCTTATGCTTACCAGTGTATATCCGATAAATGCATATTATGGAGGTCTCACCAACATTAATAATTGGGTGACTTTTTATTCTGCAGAGGTGTGATAAGACTTGCATGAGACGCTCAACGATGTATGATTTGTGTTGTGTAGTTTTTTCTTCTTCTTCTGGCTTGCTTGGTGATTCTCGTATTATCTGCATACGAGATCCGCAAAAGTGCCGGAATGCACCGATGATGATTAGGCCCTTCGTATATACAAAATTCTCTCCATTCAACTCCGTCCACTTATTCCCAATTCACCAATCCAAATAAGATGACAGCCTGTTGGCATGCTAACGAACCAAGTCCCTGTCCAAAATGTTGAGAAACTCCAAATGCCCCCAAAACGCCTTTCCCAATGCATCGCCGTATAGGCCCGGTAGTTTATCGCTTCCAAAATGCTTCCGAAAAAATGCAGATGCTGTCATGAATGATTGTCGAGAACAAAAGAAATTGAAAGTGTCGATTGACTTGCTGAGGTGTTATGCATTTCGTGATGCGAATCTTGCTGCCGAGTTTCCGTTTCCTAGACATAGTCCTTCGACACAACATGCTGATGGTGCCATTTGGCCCATTAATATGGCGTCTCTTGTTGCCTGATTGAATGTTAGATTTGGTTGGGAGAAAATGGGGGCAAAGGTGAGGTTGGTGGTACTTACGTCTGTGCATGGGATAGGTGTCGCTGCAACGAATGTGGAGGCCGAGAGAATCATGACTGCGAAGGCCGACAAGGATGTTGAGAAGTACATTGTTTGTTTGAATTGTGGTGTTGTCGGATCGTTGGACTTTTTTATTTCCGATATGATATCAACGAATGGATGTTCGGTTACTTGTGTGTGACAAGGTGAAGGGTCTCGTTGTTCTTATATCGATCGACCCGAGGCCCAATTCCAACAAAAGTTTCCTTAAAAGTGACGATTTATTAATAGCCAGACGGGAAAGGCGAGTAGCGAATGTGATATGTTGGGAGGCTCAGAGTTGGTTGGCCTTTGAAACACCGAAGGAAGATCACTAGATGAGTTGGAATCCTGTCACTTGTTGGATGCAATGGTTGGTACTTAAGTTGTTGGGTATCGAGTGGACAAGCTCTCTTATAAGAAGCACCCGTTGGTGAGATAAGCCATGCTCAAGGCAACAATTGAAAAGATACGGCTGAAGCCGAGTGATGTGATGAGCATTGGCAGCCAGCATCGGCATCGCATGGCTAGCTTGGATGCATGGCTTATCTCCATCCGTTTGCGGACAAGGTGGCCATGGCTGCCGATTATTGTCGCTAACCAGGTTGATCCGAAAAGACTAATGAATGGGCACGTTTCCCTCGCTTGTATTGCCCATACGAATTCTGGCCATCAGCACTACTCACGCCATGCTGCGCTCGGTGTGCTCGAGTGAATGACATTTGTTTTTCTGGCTGTGCTGTGTACATTACCGAGAGATCCAATCCTCGTGAAGCTTAGCTGGGTGGCGCCACACCCGACAAATAGAGTTATCCCGGTGGTTGGTAGAAAGATAAAAATAGGTCGGGCTGTGGCTGTCCGGACGCAGTGAAAGAATGATACAAAGCCATGACGACGACCGCGAGGAGCAGCAAAAGAAAAGAGTCAGAATAACCTTTCTTTCTGATACAATTACGCATGCTCGAGAGCCAGAGTGAAGTGCACGGAGTTAGTTAAACATATCGTCTTGCAGTGGTGACTTTCTTCATACTTAGTTGGGCTCGGGCGGTCAAACAGCTGAAGGAGGCTGGTTCCTGGTGGAAATTTGTTATCGTGAGATGCGCAACTTCTCATAGGGAAGATCGATTCATCAAAAAGTTATCTTTTGACATTAACAGACCGTCTCCTTGAATCGATGGATTACCATCAGAGTCGATTCATAAGGTAGTCATGGAACATCAAAGCTATGTTTTTAGGTTTCATGTTCATCCTATCCTTTTAAGGTTGTAAGGAATTGACTTTTTTATTCTACGAAGTAACATCGTAGAGGATGGCCTCACCGAACATACTAATCCTCTGCCCTCGTAGGAGGGGTAGCAGATGAACATTACTCGTGATGAGGTTTAGTTAGGGTACTAGGTATGAACTACTTCGAAGTTGCGTCCAGGGCTATGCATACGAGTTCCTCGTTGCCATGTGCCATGACCTTGCCATCTTTCGGAAGTTCTCACGAACAAATGGTCTGTCACGGATACGGAAAGCTTGTTTTTACAGTACGGGAGGGAACCCACCGTCGTGTTCTTTGGCTTCAACCAGCCTACTCTTATGAATACGAATTCTTCTTTCGTCTGTGAGACAATTGATTATATGCGCGATGTGTTGCGAAAGCGATTCTTCAATTTGTATCTTTTAATTTGATTTGGAGGCCGAATAAGGAAGGGAAGAACCGGGTGTTTGCCTTTAATTTCGATCTGCACACGCCGCAAGGGAGACCATGTGCTCGGGAATTAAAAATCTCACTCTCACACGAAGCTTACCCAAGTAAGTATGTACGAGCCGCCGCTCCCTACAGTATAAGAAGCCAATGAAAGGCGGTCTCTCGCGTCTATGAAAAACCAAGCGCGCAAATATGACTTCCACGATCCTTCCACGTTCAGGTTCTTGAACTGTGCCATTCAAGTTTGAAAATACGATCCTTCTCGTAAACCATATATTTCTGGCTTCTGGTCCTTTTTTTGTAACCTTCTCATGAATTTCTTTTTACTTTCACTTAAGAAGTTGACGCCGAGTATCAGTTAAAGGTGATTTAATGAATTCGAGATGAAGGGATCCTTGCATTAATAGGAGAGCTTGAATCATTGTCGTCTGTGCGCTCGACCTTCGCCGATGGAATATTTTCCCAAATTCTAAATGGTTAATTCCATATATATTCCATATTGGGAAGGCTGTAGAAAGATAGGAATCGATTAAATGGTACTCATGCACGCATAACTTATGCATGTATAAGCCCACGCACAGGCCACTACAAGACGTTCCACTCGTTCTCCACTACTAAAATACTACTACAACACCTACTATTTTTTTACTATTAGGATTAGAAATAAAAGTGTAGACGGGCTCGGGTTAGGGTTTGGTTAGAGTTAGGGTTAGGGCTAGAAGTTAGGGTTAGTGGAATATGATTTTTGGCTGTTTTGTAGTGTAGACATAGCTAAGTGGCTCCCTTTTATGTCAAAGATGGCACGGGCCTCCATGAGTACCATTTAATCGATTCCGAAAGATAATGTGGGTGGAGTTTTATATTTAGTTCCGCTGAGCTAAATTTACCTAGTCCCGAAGGACGTGTAGAGTTTGCTTAGTAGTAAGAAACCTGGTTATTGCTCTGTACACGCTATTAAATGTTATTATGCCAAAAGTCTAGCACAACTTAATTAATTGTCCTATTTCACCTAGGTTAATAAAGAGTGAATGATATCAATTATTCTAAACTGTTCATATAATTGATTTAGTTGTGTGAGGTCTTTAAGGATAATATTTTTCTAGGGCTTAGGGGTGTGCAGAGTAATGCCCGCCTCTCTTGCATATAACTATCCTTGTGCTTCTGTAATCTACACTCCCACTACTCTTCCTTATACAAGGTAAGCCTCCGCGAATCTCGTAAACCACTTTCCTTCTCTCCTATACTACTATGTTCTAGGACGGTATTCCACACTCTTCTAGTCGTCTACGCTTACGCTCTAGCAAGCTACCTAATAGTACGTACTCTAAAGTCTAGTAAATAAGGATTTAAACCCTATAGATTTACTATCTTAGAATTACTGCTAGCGCTCCTTCCTTTCTACGTAGAATGTATCTTTGAATAATCGTACCGGCGAGAACAACCTTAATTTCGAGGGTTGTGAAAATAAACCAAGAACTTCGAAACCCCGAATTACCCGTTTAAACAATTAATTAACTTAAAAGGTCGAAAGTTGAAATGACAATCTTGCATACGAGCCAGGACGCCCTCTTTGCGGGAAGTTATCAGCAAGATGATGTAGATAGAGTGTTATTAAGTTCCACTACACCTGCCTAGTCTCGAAGGACGTCTAGAATCTAATTAATATTACATATAACCAACCTTGTGCCTCTGTATTCTAGACTTACACGGCAATAGTTCTAAGGACATATAAAAGAAAACGGTCACTTACAAAGTTCTAGAGGCTTCATCGAATTTATTTCTTGGTTTCGTGTTACGGTTTCCTTGTTGTATTTCTGATCAACTTTTTTGTACATACCTCAAGCATGGATCGATGTCATCAGTGTTCGGCACTTGGAATTCCTTTCTATTCTAGACCTCCCCGATAGAACATCCCCTTCCATTAAGAATACACTCTCCTCTGGAATATATTATATTGCGTAGTAGAATTATGGAATCTAGAGTAGAGTTATTACGTGATGTTTGAGACAGTTATTCGGTTAGACATCCTAGGCAAAAAAAACTATTGGCTTTACTAATAAGTGTGTATACGTAACTAGTTTTACCTATGGAGTAGTAGTCGATTACTCTGGTATACATAATGCGTGCTATGCTAGCTAGGGCATAAGACTAAGAGATATAGTAAATAACTGACCGATTCACTAATTGCTAAATACTATCTTATTGTGAGGGTTAGAACCCATAGCGGGGCTCGGGCCAAGAGCCCTCGCTAAGCTAAGCGACCCCGCCTCTGGAACGCCATGGAATAAGATAGAATGCTATGACGCAGAAGATTGGTAATACTATGGAACAGTGTTGAATGCAATGGAAATGCTACATTTAGTATAAGAGTAGAGGAGGAACATGTATTTACAGACCACGTAGTTCTTAATTGAATATTGAACCGACACCTTTGAGTTGTTCGAGGTCTGGCCTCTCACACTTATTTAACTTAACTGTAAGCTCTCTCTCTGTAATTAAAAGTGAAGAATATATGTCCTCTGGAATTCCATAATTCCTGAGGTATCATGTAAAGAATATTCCATTCCATTTTGAAGGAGGTCTAAAACGTTCTATATGGAATGGAACTCCACATAATTCATGGAATCGTATTCCAGATGCCAAACACTGGATGCCGAGAAGGCACCGTGCTCCAGAGCTGTTGTTAGGAATAAGGAGATATACTACGGCGATATATTGATACTTGGAGCTGCAACCGTCTAACGACCATGCGGCAAGAGACCCACACTAGTATTATTTGTATTATTTGTTGAATGATTCCTGATAAACCTCTTAGTTGCAGTCAAACATTTTTTACCTTGGCAAGTTGACTATTCTTTCTTTTCAAGTGGCTCTTCATCACCTGTGACAGCAATTTTAACAACTTTCTTTCTGGCATTTTGGCGGTCTTTCTTCAGCAAAGTTTTTCAAGTATTCTTAATTCCCATTGCTATGTTGTTCCCTTTTAACAGCAACAGTTTGAACTGGCTATTTTGGTACTTTGTTTTGAAGTTCCTCTGTCAGCTGGGTCTCAAAACTGTTCTGGCGAGGAGGTTACACAGAAGACATCCGACAGCTAGAGTAAGAGGGCGTATAAGAGGGGGAGGGAAGGAGGGGGAGGTTCCCCAAGGGAGCCGCCGGAGGGGTATAGGCAGAAGGTATGGCACCTGCGCTACAAGTGACTCCCGAGGGACCTTATACGAAAATAGAGGTGAGAAAAGGGGGCGTGAGAGGGTTATAGTAGAGAATCTGTATCATGTGGAATACTATGAATTTTACAGAAAAATAACTCTGTCCTTTGGCTCTCCTTTGGCTCTTCCTCCTATATAAAGTGACTTTTGCGATTTGCGATTTAGTTATCTAGTTTAGTAGTAGATTCAGGGTGCCGTATTAGGAGAGCTAGCCAGGCTTGCAAAAGTAGTGTTACCACTTTCTAAGGTGTCGGGTAATCACTCGTTTAGGAGTAAGCTGCGTAGTTCCCTGTTTACTCCTCCCATGATGGTAACTAAAATCGGTGGCCAATTTACAAGAGAAGTTAGTGGGTGGACTGGCCATGGACCCAGGGGTCATATTTGTACTAGGAATAAGCAGTTTTCAGACGTCCTTCGGAACATTTGGTACAATAGTAATTAAATCATCACTCAAATTCAAGTTCTACCTAAGTTAGGAAAAGTGTAGAATATGGTTTAAGGTTTTGAACGCGTATGTTCATAATACTATTTTAGCGTTCGTGTTGGGTTTCATACTACATAGGTGCGGCCGGAGTTTTGCTCAACTCTCTTACTACCGTGATAAATCCATGTTAACAAATACTCTAAGAAGGGCGGGTGTAGTACGGAGCAGTGTAGAGCAGTGTGAACTAGTGGCTCGCACTCCCTAGAATCCCTGGTACTCCTCCTCACTCAACGCTATCCACTCGCATCTAAATGGCTATCTACTCGTCTAGTCTAAGATTACAGTTCGAAAACGAAACCGAGTACCCGAGTACCATTTTCGAAACATCGGATTTTATGAATTTGGGGATGTTCCACAAATCGTTTTCTAGTCAAGCAAAGAAAAGCATTCCAATGTCGTGGAATACTTGAGAAATTTGTTATCGGAATTTCCGATATTATTGCTTGGAGCGAGAGTTTTGGATGCGTTGTTTACATAGAGGGTCTGGACAGCTCGCGTCTTCCCAACCCCCGTCCTCTTACATACCCCTCCCCTTGCTTAAGACTTGTTATAGGAAGGGCTCAAACCCACAATATAGAATTCTAAGCCAATTGGATAGTCTGTTTCGTGTGAAGGTATATCAGAAATCAATAAAGGGGGGGATAGGGGGGAATATACCAAATAAAGGGAACCGGACTTTTGGAGCACAACTGTAAGAGAGGCGAGCATTGCTCTGTACAAGCTATCAAAAGTCATTATATCGAAACTCTAGCATAAGTAACTTAATTGTCCTATTTCACCTAGTATAATAGGGTGATTTGGTAACCGATTTTTAATGTTAGTGGTAAAGTTTTTTAGCGTACAAGTAATAAGGTTTATGATATTATAAGAGGTTTAGCTGGCCGATTTTAGTGAAGAATTGTTATCGAATAAAGACTATACAGGGACAGTTTCTAATATAAATACAAGTACGAGGAGTGTCAGAAGACGAGGGCACAATATAGAATGGATAAGCTGGAACACAGAGAGAAGTTAGCTAGGGGGCGAGCAGGGCTCTAATATAGGGCTGTCTATGGGCATGGAAGTGTCCTGAATAGGACTAGCGCCTTCTATGGAATATGCTAGTGCCAGACAGTACAAGACAGGAGAGCCGAGTGCTCGTGTCGTAACAATTGCCGCCACAAAATCGAAAGACGATGCCCCAGCGTCACCAATCCCTCGGTGGACGAGACTCTTAATAAGTACTTATCCGAAGAATCAAAGCAGATAAACATGCTGACAAATCCAAATCCAAATAAATCAAATCCAAATTAGTGGCTCTTTATAAGCACATACCGATATCCGTGCAAGTCCAAATGCAAAATCCAAATCCATGTCTGAGAGAGGAGGCTCTTGATGAGCACAATCCGGTGTCCATTCATTAATATCCATACTAAATCCAAAGCAATGTGATGTGCAACCTAAATGAGTGATATGTCGCAAGCGAGTAAGTGAGCAAGCGACAGGGGGGTCGGTGTGTGTGTGTCCTCGTTCCTGAAAGTCCTTCAAGATCCTAAGCATATTTTTCCTGTCGTATTATCCTCCGTTTCTCCTTTTGTTCCTCCGAGGTTAAATAAATAAAAACCGAAGCCTCTTCTGTCCGAATATCGTACCTAGTTACTCTCTTAATGGTACTCGCTTAGTATAAAGGGGGGCGATTCGTACTTTAGTTGGTTTACAGTAAAGCGGTATTCTTTGTAAGGTATCCACTAGCTCGGTTTGTACTATGAGGGCAGACTTTGTCGGTTTTGAAGGGGAAGGGATCGATTTTAAGTATTCTCCCGTAATTACAGTCGGTGCGATTAAGTCTGAGCCAGTTAGCCGAACCCCACCAAAAATCGACGATTTGCCTAGTTTGCTATAACTATACAAGCGCTGAATAAAAACCTTATTCTTTTTATACACCTATAGTTAAGTATGTTATTAATACTTTTATATAGATGTATTAAGCTAAATAGAAAGACTTTATTAGTATATATCGTGACCTTCTAGATGTTCTTATTTTTGTGCCGAATTTAGGCCGAATTTGGTACGAAATACACTTTTTCTAAAAATGGTTAAATTTATACGCCTTTTACTCTCCCCCTTATCCCTTATATTGTCTAACAAAATCCGAAGAGACAGAATAGAGGGGAATGTTAAGATAAAAGGGATTGTATAAAGGATTATATAATTTATAGTAATCTTTTATAATTTCACTCCAAGTAAACATGCCGAGTTTTGGTGTAAAAAGTGGAAATGGCTTAGACTTTCTGCCTAATACTGTAACAAGGAGTCTATCTAGAACAGGAACGCTTACATTACTTGTACCAGGTTCAAATGGAGACTAAAAAGTGGGATGACTTGTAGATTACCTTTTGTTAGTAAAGGGTCTGGACAGCTCGCGTCACCCCCTCCCCTGTATACGACTTGTTATAGGCAGGGTATAACTCTATAATATAGCCCTCTAAGCCAATTGAATTGTCCGATTCATGTGGAGGTATATTAGAAAGTGACAAAGGGGGGGGGCCGAGCTGTCCAGACCCTTTACTTGTACTAACAAAAGTTTGGGCCTTATTTGACTTAGGGTAGTGGCAACACTTTAGGTAGGTTTTCAACAACTTTTTAATGCGAACCTACACTTATAATCGCCAATAAAAAGTGGTTGCCAAATCACCCTAATAAGAATTAAAAAGTAACAATTGTTCTGAACTATTCGTATAATTGATCCAGTTGTGTAAGGTCTTTAGGATAACATTTTTATAACTCTGGTGTGTACAGAGTAATGCCCACCTCTCTTACCGTAGTAAATCGAGCGCATAGAAAATGGGTGAGGGGGTGGTGGAGTAACAGAAGTTGGCAAGACTACGAGCCACTTACTCAAGCGTACAAAAGATTATCTAAATTACTAAAGTGCTACCAAATTACTACTGTATTTTTATATAACAAAGTAAATTATAACGCACAGTGCCACATAGTAAAATCTACCTACAGTGTCCTACAGTCACGTGGCGACTTTTTACTCGGTTGTCACAAATACCCCGCATAAAAGAGGGACTTCTAGCGAGTAACGTACTTTTGCAAGCGAATACGATAAGTGGTGCCAGTTGCCGGTGGAAGGAGAGCATCCTGAAGGAGCTTTAGCTTGGTGGAAGTTACACCATCAGGAATACCCTCTTTTATCACAAATGGCCAGGGATATATACTCGATTCCTGGTATGTCGGCAGAAGTTGAGCGGTTGTTTTCAAGTACTAAGTTAATGCTCCCCCGGCAAGGAACTCTCTAAATGCAGGGAGTATTCAGGCAGGCGAGTGTATTCGAAGTTGGACTAAATCTAATATTATTATGGGAGATTACTTTGGTTATTTGAGCACAGTACAGCAAAGGAAGGAGAACTTTAGATTGCAGGAATCAGAAGTGTAAATAGCTTCAAATTCAAATTATTTTAATGGATAACTGGCTTACCACTGGTTAACCACCAATAAGGACAGTTCGGTTCGGTTATAGATTCTGGCCCAGTGGTTTGGTTCAGTTTTGCTTCAAAGTTATCGGTTAACCCTCCATTGGCAGCACTGCCTCTGGTTCGCACTGCCCCGCATTCCCCCCACCCACTTCGGACTTTTTATAAGTTCAGTTTGCTACGGTGCTTTCTAATCGTTACACAATTGCCGGTTAGCCAGGTTAACCAGGGTTGACCAGGTGCTGTCGGAACTCTTGAACCGATCTTCAGCCTGGAATTTCCTTGAATTCCGCCGCACGGTGACTTCATATATAAGGTGGGCTGCAGTAGAATATGTACTTAGCTCAGGAGACATCAGCTTTTTCATTCGGATGAACAGTAGCCCTCTGCTTTCCAATTTCTTATTTTATCAGTAGCTGGGGTTCTCTCAACCGCAAACACACTTTTCGTGTGCATCCCTATTATCCTCAACCTAACTGCTTGCTACTTGAAAGACTTCAAATCCTCCATAAGATGTCGAATTTTCACAATTTGGCAATCCTAGGAGTAGTATCCGTGGGTCTCAAAGATACCCAGTAAGTTTTTACCAGCTAACGTGTAGCTCTAACACCAGCTCTTTCTCTACTACTCTGGTATCGTGGTCTACCGAATCTTCTTCCATCCTCTTCGCATATATCCAGGGCCATGGCACGCTAAATTTTGCAATTTTGCTTGGTTACTACTGGTTCAATGGAGACTGCCATCTTTGGACAATAAAGCTCCACGAAACATATGGGAGTGTCGTTCGAACCGGATGAGATCAGCTCGCTTTCACAGAGGGAGGTGCTGTAAGTATTGCATTAAGTTCAACCCTATTATAAATCCAGCTTCTAATATCAGATTCTTTTAGTGGAACGGTAAGAAATTACATTTTTGAGTAACGAAATGATTCTAATGATATAGACATCTATGGGCTCAAATCACAAGGAGGTGCGAATTTACCGAAAGATAATCGACGTCGAAGCGAAGAACCTAATGGCGCCGCGAGTACTGTAGGTCATATGTGTTATCAAGAATGAACTCCAGCTAAATAAAAGTAGGTACTTTCAAATGAAGAGGACCATAAACGCATGCGAAGATTACAAGCTCACGCGTTCTCCGAAAAGGCTTTAAGGGCACAGGAATTTGTACTTGATAGTTATGTCGATAAGTTGATCAAAAGTCTACGCGAAAAGGCAGCAACTCCAGCAAGCAGTGTTGTGGATATGGTTTTGTGGTACAAGTACGTCTCTTTCTTTTTTTTTGGTTTCGAGATTGGTGAAAATAAGCCGTGTCAAACATTCATATTTTCTAGTATCCACGTTCTCTACAGATTCCAGGCTAACATCATTTCAGCTGTACCACTTTTGATATTTTAGGTGATCTCGCCTTTGGGCAATCGTTCGGTGGCCTAGAAGAGGGTAGTCTCCACGTATGTTTGTTGCCACATGATACGTTCTTGTTAACTCACAGAAAATAGCCATGGATCAAATTAATTTTCAACACCATCAAAGCAGAGGCGTTTCTAGTAGCAGCACGCGAGTTTTGGAAGCCACTGGAACTTCTGGCAATATGGCTATTAGCTCCAAAAGGTCTCATGTCAGTCAATATGGAGCATGCCATGTTCGCATACGCGAAAACAAAGGAGAGATTGGCACAAGGGGCATCTGATCGACCTGATATTACGAGTTACATTCTCAGGCATAATGACGAAAAGGGGTAAGCAACGTTATACCAAGAAAATGTGTGACAGACGTTAATGGAAGAAGGATGACAATACCGGAGATTGGATCCAACGCTGCACACCTCATTGTTGCTGGAAGTGAAACCAGTAAGTCTCATGAGCTTTTCCTCAAAAGTGTTGCGCTTACATGAATTTTTCAAAGCTGCAACCTTCTTATCTGGAATAACATATAATCTACTGCGCACTCCCGAAATTCTTGCAAAGCTGCAAAACCTCATCCGTAGCACATTTGAGACTGCGGAATCCATCAACGTTCTCGCTTTAGGCCAACTTCCCTACCTTACTGCTGCTCTTGAAGAAGGGTTCCGCACATGTCCTCCGGTTCCAATCGGACTTTTTCGTCGGACGGCCTCGGAAGGAGCCATGATCTGCGATCTTTTTGTGCCTGAAGGCGTGTCAGTGACAATTCATCACTTGGCTGCGTATACGAGTGAACAGAACTTCGAGAATCCTAAGCAATTTGTGCCCGAAAGGTGGGAGAAAGAAGCAACTTTGACTGTACCTTACAAGGATGATGACAGAAAGGTCTTGCAGCCCTTTAGTTATGGACCGAGAAATTGGATCGGAAAGAAGTGAGTTCAAATGCTCGTCCATCGTGTGTTGATTTGAGAGTCACTGACCGGGAATAATTAGCCTTGCTTATGCGGAAATGCGACTCATTCTTGCGAGGGTTCTATGGAATTTTGATCTGGAGTTGATGCCTGAGAGTAGAGATTGGGATAACCAGAAGACTTACGGGCTGTGGGAAAAGAAACCTATGATGGTGAAATTGACCACTAGGACCGCATAATTTGGCTCGAAACGACGAAGGATCGATAGACTCGGTGTCAAGAATGATTTCAGGTACTAGAAATAATGTAACTAAGATTACATTTGAAAAGTCAGTCTACACACTTTGGCAATTAGGAGTAGATACACTGGTTAATATATAGTTGAAATTGACTATCCGCCCTTCCTTGATAATGGCCCTGGTACTATAGCTCAGCCTCCTAAGAAGATTGCATCCAACTATTCTGCTTCGACCACCTCTACCATGTTCTCCGCTACTTCCTTGCTCTCCTCTACCTCTGCGCCCTCCTCAGCCAACCCCGCTCTTTCCTCGAGTAAAACTACCACAATGCCCATGTCGAGGATTCCGGAAGGAGTGCTTTTGATATTTCTTCGCTTACAGTAATTCTTCTTCTAGAAAGCCCAAGAGTATAGAATTAACTTTAGTATAAGGACTTAGCCTGATATGTTTGTCTTTTACTAGAACTTGTATCATTATCTAACCATATAATTTATAAAATCGTTGTTTTATAGAACCCTAGATGAATGGATATTATATTAATACTTATATTTTAAATATTTCTCTTAGCTACTTCTGATCTTAGTTCATTTAACGTATGAGGAAATAGGAAGTCAGAGTGGTACGACGCAAGGTCTCACAGTACTCTAAGGTCTTCCTGGGTTGGATCTTATTCTGGGCTACCGCCTTATGAAAAGGAGTGTGATTATTTCTGTGTTTTTCAGTTGCCTCGCTTAAGTCGGTAGCGTTCGGGATGGTAAAACTGACAGGTGTGACACAATCTCTATTGCCTACCGGTCTATGTCTACTTGTAATTTCAAATTGTCATGTCATGCTTGTATTCCTGGTAATGGAATTGATTGATGAATTTGTGGGTGGGTTATGAGGTTCGCTAGGTGCTACGACTAGCTATTTTACCAACTAAGCGTGAACAGATGCGACACCTGGAAATCATCGCGTTACCAAGAGGCATCATGTAATAGAAAATTCGGGTTTAGTATTTCTACATGAATTATCATCTGTCTATTCTCATAAGACTTGCAGGTTATATCACACCTAGAAGCAAACCCACAATGTCTCTTTCTCTCAACGTATTTAAAGGAAAGAACCCCTCCATCTTCTCTAAATCCTCGATTATGATCCCACCAATCATATTCTTCCCGTCCTTCCCCCAACATTCCTGGGCTTCTGTAATAAATGGTTAAACTTCCCCGCATTCGAATTCGGAGCCCAATATCTTCGAGGATCCCCACCGCCTCCACCCATTCTCCCACCACCCATATCACCCATAGCATTTCCAGAACCATATCCACCTCCCATGCCACTTACACCGCCAATTCCACCTACACCACCCATCCCCTCACCCATAGGATTTCCCCCAGCACCAGGAGTAGGAAAACGATTACCCATCTGGGCATGATACGGTATATTTCGTTGCCGAGGGTTGTGGTTTGGTAATGGAGGAGGGTATTGTTGTTGTTGCATATGTTGGATGATAGGGCTGGATTGTTGGTAGGCAGTACCACCTAAGTTAGGGGCGCCGGTTGATGCATTGAGTGGGGGAGGTGGAGGTGGGGGTTGATTGTAGTTGCCTTGTCCCATTGGTCCTTCGCCTCCTCTCATGCCCCTTGAGTATGGTCTCGGTTGTTGTGGATTGTATTGACCACCTTGACCACCTCCGCTACGTCCAGAATGTGGTGTCTGACCACTACCTGTCCGTCCGTAGTGCGGTTTTTGACCGCCGCCAGAGCGGCTGAATCCTGGACCTTTGAATAATGACATAGTGTTGCATATGTTGGTGTGTTGGTATATCTTAGGTCTGACTTCTCCCGGAAGGTCTTTTTGAATATGACGTTTAGAAAATTTCCGAGAAAAAGAGGCAGGAAGGCTTTTTTATAGAGCGATCGAAGAACGACGGAGTCATGAAATAACGAGGTGGTAGTGAATGTTGCTATGATTTAGAGGGAAGAGAATGATTGGGTAGGCAATACGTTCTATGAGATGCTAGACGTAGAAGTGAATGTCTTCCAATTGATTCACACGATCTTGAAAATCTAGGCATTCTGCAGTTATACTTATGAGCAGAAAATCAGTGAAAGATTTTTTTTCATTACAAAATGTAAAAGCGGAAGCCAAAGTATTGGATTTGATGATCAAAGTGCTATGAGTGGCTTGCTTGTCGTTCTCTCCCTGCGCCGAAACCGTGAATTAAGCGAGAGTGGAGTCAGTGGACCTGCCTTACTACAACATTTCAAATCACAACGTTACTCCTTTCGAGCCAACTCTGCTCCTAAGTCCCTCACTTCTTCCTCTCCGTATTAAGAAGGAAAAATCATAGTGCCGTATTATCCCCTGAATCATATCAAAAATCTCGCTAAGTAGTAATGTTTCTCTGCCTACATTCTCAAAAGATACACCATAATCATGATACACTCCGTCGAGTAAGTCTCCCTATTCTTCATCCCACTCAAATTGAAGAGAACAAAGGGAAAAGAAGAGAAAGTTATATTATTTTATTATATATTATTACTGACCCCATTATAGAGACACCCAACCACCAGTCTTTCTAAGTACAAACCAAATGAACCCACCAACGTTGTCTAACCTGTCCTTGCGTCCTCTCAGAATTTTTCTAACATATCCGAGAGACAGAAGTGCTTGATTTGTTTAAAGCAGATATCAGTTGTTTCCCTATGTGCCTCAAGTTGCATTGGATCTTGGTCTTCGACGAGGAGGAGGGCGAGACGAATCTAGACCTCTCTGACCACTCCACGCCATGGACTGTGACGGAGGAGTTTGCTGGTTAGTATTCCAAGTTCCCTGTTGTCGTGAGGATCCCCGTGGAGGGGGAGGAGGAGAAGACGCCTGGCGAGCCCTATTACCGCTCCTGGAGTATGAGCGTGCAGGAGGAGGAGGAGGAGACGCCTGCTCACCTCTATTACCTCCCCTCGACGATGATTGTGCTAGTGGTGGAGGCAATGGCGGCGCTGGGTTATAATTCCCTTGTCCCTGCTGCCTCTGAACAAAATGAATCTGTCCCCCTCCACGGCCCAGACCCAGTTGCGGATCAATTAGCTGACCAGATCCTATATTACCATGAACATTCATCTGGCCAACCCTTCCGAGTCCCCTTTCTATGGCTTCATCAAACTCTAGTAGTAGCTGCCTCGTCGCAATATCAAAAGGGTCGATAGGATGCTCTCGATGACCGCCGTGTCGTTGATGGTTGTTGAATCCTCGTGGCCACATTTTGCTCGGTCTTTTTCAGGAAAAGGAATTTGGAAAGTCTTCGAGGCTGGTATTTTTGGCAGTTGTTGATTTTATCTCTACACAACCAAGAGAGAAGGGAGGGAGGATTTATAGAGTGGGCGTACACACAAAAAAAAGAGGGAGTGAAAGTGAATCAATAACCAGGAAAGGGAATAGGTTGGCATGATATCTCTTTACAGCAGCTACCTCTTCTAAGAAACGGATTCAGAATATGGTATCATCCGCATTCATACACTACCCAAATAAAATACAGTCAAACTGTAACTCAGACTCAGCAAACTCCATGAGACGCCATGACTGTGGGAGCCAACAAGTCGAGATAAGTGGAGTTAGGATGGTACAGTACATGCAAGCTTCAAGTCCATTGGCTCATCGTCCCTATATCCATCGCTCTAAGCGCACCACGGGGGGACCCAAACCCGAGAGTTTCCCTTTATAACCACAAATAAGACATCTGGCTCTCGCTATTGGACCTAGTAGTATCTGCAGGTTGCACTGGCGCATGGGCTCCAACTTTCTATACAAAACACATCTATCACGATTCATCAAAGCAAAGCAAGCAAAACACAACAACAGCAAGAGAAAAAAAGGAGCTTAAGCTTACTGTCTAGAAAAAGAAAACCCAAAAGAACCCCAACCAAACTCCATACAAAAAACCCCATAGCCAAAACGTTATTCCTCAAGTTCCTCTTCTAAACCATCCCAATATCACAAGATATGAAATATTCCCATCTACCCATCATATAATCTCACACATATAACATACACATCACCCTCTCCCCTCCCCTTTTCTATCCAACACACAACACAACCCCTTCATCTCCCTCAAAAAAGCAACAGCGCTTCATTTTGTAATCTTAATCTTACCAATGAGAGAGACGCTGTGCTGTTTTGGATACTGTAATAGGTTTCTTTCTTTCTTACTCGATAGAAGTGAGAAAGATATACAGTAGAACGAAAGGAAAACAACTCGTAACGTAGAACGTACTTCTATATATTGTTATTTACTAACTGACTTACTTATATACAATACCATACCAACGTGACAACGTCCTCCCTATACCTCGCATCACCCTAGCACGCCTATCCCTCCTCTCACACTGCTTACACTTCTCCCAAACACTGCACACCTCGCAGCTACTCGAGTACTGTACCTCAACTTCATAACTCCCAAATTTCCCCTCGCCCCCCTCTCCATCCCAAGTCCAGGCTCCCCCTCTTACCCACAGCCGCGTTGAACCCTCAGAATCCCATCATATGCTTCAAACCTACCACCATTCCTCTTATTCACCTATCCTATCCACAAATCTTATCCACAAATCCACCAATCCACCAATCCACATATCCATATACTATACCTCCTTAGATATCTCCATCTCCCCCTTCTACTTCCTACTTCCTGTAATTAACAATTAACAATAACATCCTCTTCTAACCCACCCTCCTCCATCTTTAACAGTCCACCCCCACGTACACCAACCCATACCAATCCAACGCATAAACCCGCCCTCCCGGCCCCACAAAAGAACCTCAGCCCAGCCCGCCTAGCCCAGCACAGGACCGGCAAGCCAGAAAGAACCCTAACCTTACCTACCCTACCTATATCAACAACACAACAACAATACCTGTACATAAAGGGTCTGGACAGCTCGCGTCACCCCCTCCCCTGTATACGACTTGTTATAGGCAGGGTATAACTCCACAATATAGCCCTCTAAGCCAATTGAATTGTCCAATTCATGTGNGTATATGTGACAAGGGGGGGGGGGAGACCCGAGCTGTCCAGACCCTTTACTTCTACTTTGCAAGATATCCTTCTACACATCAACACATAAAAAAGAAAAAAGAAGAAGAAAGAAAAAAAAAGAACCCGGCCTCGCCACAACATACATTCGAGAAGTCCGACCATCGATGTTCAGTAAGATTTAATTAATTAATTAATTTCTTATACCTGTATACATACCAAGAAAAAAGGTAGACGAACCCCCGTACCCATCCGAAGACTATAAAAACCAACAAAGTGCCATTCAAGGAGACTTATTACTGTAGTCCCAACAAAAGTCATCTCCTCTCGCAATTCTCCCACTTTTGACAATCAATCAATCAATCAAGCTTGCTTACTCAGTTCAAGGGATCGAAACTCTCGGATGGGTTTTATGTAGTATTCGGTACTATGCCTAGGTACTGTACCTTAAATTTACAGTAAGTAGTAGTAGTAGTAGTAGTCCGTTCTTGGCTTGATTGGTGTACCGGTACTGTAGAGCTGGTATGTACTTGATTCGATACGAATTCGAGACTCAAATAACGCTTGTGTAACCCGTCGAAAGGTTAGCTAGTAGAGAACTTTTTAGTCCTCATACTAAAAATTCATGGTAATACTTCTTTCTCTGAGAAGGAAAAAAGAAAACTTCAAATATCAATCATATCCATCCATCACATCCACCTCAACCCTCAACCCCCGACCACGAAAAATAATGCTTAAGAGGACGGGACGGTTGGAATCTCTTTCTAATACATCCATCCTACTAGGCTCAGTACATACTGTACACACATCACACAACAACCCCTGCCCCCCCACATCATCCAAAGTCCAAAACAAATTTCAAAAACTTTTCTTCTTTATTCTTTATTCTTCATACTATATTCATATGATTGATTTATCTCACCCTCCTCCAAATCAAGGAAGTCAATCCAGTCTACCTATCTACACCACACCTCCCCTCCCCTCCATCACCCTCCCCCCCCTCATCCATCCATCCATCAATCCACACGCCGCCAACCAGTGGCCCACCACCCCCTCCCCTCCAACCGACAAAAGAAAAACCAA